CCGAACCCAAGTTGAGGTCATGACAAAATCCCTTGTGAACTGCTCCTTTTCCACAGAACAAATCCAGGACTGTAAGGACCTAGCCAGTATTCGAGAAAGAGGTTGAACAGTCAAACATAATTCATCGATCTCAACGATGATCATTTCACTTGCAGCAAGAAACCCGTTTCTGACTCTCTGGGTGATCTGTGTTCTCAGCAATCCAATCGCATAGGTGGATCCTGGGACGAGCAAGAATATAATTAACATACTTTGTGCTTAGTGATGCTTCAAGAAACTGTTTTAATTAAGCATTTATAAACATGCATACTGTCACATCTTGCCACAACATAGCAAACCAAGCTTCACTAGCAAAGGGCATCCAACAGCCAGCAAAAAGCAGACTGATGTTGGAGACAACGATAGTGGACTATCGACATTGACCCCATCCATTGGCCCTGCTAGAACGGAACCAGATCAGGCCCAAAAAAGACTTGTTGTTCGGGCTTGGGCCAACTTCTGAAAGGTTGGTTGGACACATGCGTACAACACACGTGCACAGTATAATTTAGATCACATGCATGCAGCAGTGTCGCGATGCAACATGCATGAGTCAAACGAGTGAAACACGAGCAAGCTCCTTAATCACGCGTCCCAGACCTGGCACGACTCTCGATCTAAGCTCTATAGGCCTGCAAAATCATGTGGCAAGCCAGGCCACATCTGCAGTAGCAAAGTGTCAGGCTACAAACAGTTAGTTGTCGAAACTAGTATCACCTAAGTTGTTTTGAAAGTTCAACGTCTGCACACCTTACTTCTCTCCATCGGTCTAGCGTAGACCTATGCATGATACAATTCACTGCTGCTTGCCCTTCATGGGCACCCAGGCTGCGACTTGGATGGCCAGATCCCACCTCAGAGCACGAACACACGGCTCTAGTATATATTAGCAGGCTCGGCGCTCTTGTATAATATTAGGTTCCTTGCGCTTTGACCACCCCTCCATTCTTCTGCCATGAAATCGAAACGCCATTAATGGCATTGACCTTCAAAGTAACGGTAACAAATCGTGATCCTAGTTTGTGGTATTTTGTGGTCATGTACCGCTGCTATATATAAGTTCTATCACGTGTGCAGGTCTTCAGATCCAAGCACTCAAGTATCTCCGCCTTCCGGTCCTCATCCGTAATGCTTGAGACGTAGAAGCACCCATAGCGATCTGGCCTTGTCAGCTATTAATTTTTAAAAGCGCACCCCGATAAACACATGCGCGCGCGCACCAATTAATCTCAATTAGGACCCAAACTGAACGCCGATCGACTTCATTGATGCTCGACCTTTCTCAGTCCCTGGAGCATCTAATGGAGCTTGCACCGTCCAGCTCCTAGGCGGATGAAAGGATCAATTCTGAGCAAATGTGGGTTGCTGCAAAAAATAGAGTTCCCCACTTCCGGTTCTCGAAGTCCACTGGCAAGAGAAAATGCATCATGTCACGCTTGTGTTGTTGCAGCTCGATCAAGTTGTCCTGCCAACAATTCCGAAGAAAAAGTAACTATTAAAAACTGACCATATGATGCAAACGAACTAAACTTAATTAAGACAATATCCTGCAGCATTTTTCGTTTCTTTGTGCTTTTGGAAATCGGTGGCGTCTTAGCCTTCCTGACCCTTCCGCGCCGCTGGGGTGTCTTGGGGGGTTCTGCAACAAGCGACGCAGCCTTTGGGTCTGCTGGTTCTGGAGGCTTCTCAGCTGGAGCTTTGGGCTGTTCTGTCTTCTCAATCTTTTGTCTTTTCTCAACCAAGCTGCGCATTGCATCCCCCTGCACCACCCCAGCGTCTCCCCCACCATCTTTTGCCTTGGGGCCTCTCCCCCTTCCTCTCCCCCTTCCTTTTCCCCGACCCCTTGCCCTCTTCTGTCCCTTGTCTTTCTCATCTCCCGAGTCACTGTGTTCATGTTTGAATTTGCGATCCGGGTCTTCTTCATTCTCCGATTCCTCAGGCGTGGTCTTCGCTGCACGCAAGGCTGCCCGCAAGACCTTTTGCTCCTACCCGAACGTATACTAACTATCAGCGAAACTATTGATCAAGTTAAGACATACACGCACACAGCGCACAGTACATGGAAACTTAACATGCCTTCAGCAAATCGATGTTGTTGGCGCTCATCTTTCTTTGAAGTTTCTCACACGCGTTTAAAGCTTGTGCTTCCAAAGAATCTTTCGGAGGACGCGGCAGTGACGTCAGCGGTTCCTCGTCCTGGCGCATCGTTTTACAATAGTTGTCCGAAGAACTTGAATCAAAGAGCACGTGCAGTGTCCTTAAAGGTACCTTTTACTTTGCCTTTGTCGTCTTCCCCTTCACTCTCGATGCGGATGGGAGATTCCGGTTTCAATGCAGGCTCATCCACAGGAGGCACAGCTGGGGCTGCAGGCTGTGCTGGAGGTTCAGCAACAGGCGAGGCAGCAGGCTGTGCTGGAGGAACATGAGGCTCGGACGCCATCTGTGCCGCTGCCAAGGCTGCAGGCGGTGCTGGAGGAACAACAGCCTCCGACTCCACGCGTGGCGCTGCCAAGGTTTCGTGAACTTCTACAGGTTCACAGCATTCATCATCTTCGCTCAAGTGCTCTTCCTCGGCTCCCTCGTGGGATGCCTCCTCAACAGGTTCCTCATCAGCTTCGTATTCGGGAGGAAGTTGTGAGTCCGATGGTGGATGCTGGGATTCTGATCCCCCATCAGCAGGATCCTATCCAAGCTAGACTTCTGAAATATCAAATCTGATCGCAAAAAAATCGATCTAGCTCTGAGTCAGAAATATGAACTCATGCATATAATGACATTGCAGTGTCCAGCTGCCTTCAGAGCTGCCTTGGGAACCGATGGACCTCGTGTGGCAATCTTCTTGCCAGCCTCTGTCAGCAGCCCCTGCTCCTATCCACAATGTCTCATTGGTATACAATACATCGGATCGATCTATCTAAACTGCCATGTGGGTCCAATGCAGAGATAATTGAAATACAAATTTAGGAAGCTAGCACAGAACAGCGCTGCTCACTCCTCTAATTTGATCTTGACCAGTGCCTTCAGCGTCTCCATGCGCGTGTGGGACTTCCTGCAAAACGAAAAATGGAACGATACAATGCGCATCATACACACTTACATGCATGCACATGCACAGGCATGCATGATTAAGCAAGCGCGAACAACGTATGCCATTTTTCTCGCCATTTTTATAATCAATCGTTGTTGAATCATGACATCGATCAAGTTCTGGCATGCACACCTTGAAGACTGTGTACGATTGAATCGGTTCATCACGTAGCTCGCTAAGGCTCTGTGAAGCCCGCCCTCGATGAGCGCCCAGGCCTGAAGAGGCAAGATCTATGCGAGTGACAAGGAAGGACGGAGGGGTGCGAACAGCCATTGAACAATCAGATATTGAATATTGCAATCTAGTGGCCAAATGCTTCTGTTTGGAGTCGAATGAATTCCACCTCAGGTCTTCAGAGAGCTCTGCCAAAACAGCCTCGCAGGCCGATCGATATCGCAGGCCGATCGATATAAATTAACGTAATATACACATGTGCATGGGATGAACCCGATCATAGAACGATGGATAACGATGGATCGATCGATCTATGCACGCCTGACTTTCCTTTTGAGTCGGAAGGTCGCCGCAAAACTGTGCCAAATAGGCTGACGTGAACTCATAGTTCACTCGTTTTTCTGCCTAGACAGCAATGTCATGAACATGACACAAAAAATACTTGTTTCATCAGCATCCCTTTAACATGAGCATGAACGCATATATATATATGCGATAACCATCGATCCTCAATCTCAGACACCATCTTTGTATTGATGTCCACGATGCTGAAGACCTGGCCCGGCAGGATATGCAAGGAAATGCCCGGTCGTTTTCAGCATTGATTCAAGGGCAACTGGGCTTTGATTGAATTAAAACCTCACAACCCCGTACGATGTAATCATGTCACATGTACACTCGTTCGCTTCCCAGTTTTTTTGCGGATTTCGATCTTGCGTTTCTTGATGTAGCTCTCGTTGACATAGTCCGTGTAGAAGGCCTCCCATGCATGGAGGATCGATGTTGTGAAGTGGTGCTTGTGTTGATATGCGAGTTTGCATGTGCGCTAGCCTTCAACAAATCCATGCGATCTGAGGACATGTGGGCCGATCGCGCGGGCATCGTGAACCCGCGCTTCACCAGATCCAAAAAAAGCTGATGATCGTCGCAGGGGCACAGTGCAATGCATTTCAACAGAAATTGCCAGTGCACATGTAGTATGTGGATCGATATACAACAGGCTCCAAAAGAAACCTCACTAGATCGATCACTCATAATTGGTTTCTTTGGGACCCTCAAATATCGATCCACAAGCACGTCTTTTGAGTAAGCAAAATGAAGAATGCAGCAGGTGCTGCACAAAGGGTGAGGCGTACCAGGTGAAGCTTCGGTCGACTCTCGATCCATTGAGAGCCCACCACAAGAGTACTCCTCATCGTAGTACCAGCTTTGATCTGAGTGACCTGGGCCACATGCACATTTAGGCATGGTACCCTTATTAAAGAAACACATTTAACACATAAACTCAACTTTTGAAGGTACTGAGGTGCGCACCAAGAAGTAGAGCTCTGTTCATGGCTCATGGCCAAACTAATGCCCACTCTTGGAGAATGCTAAAAACAACCGAGACACGTCGCAAGTATCGATGCATTGATTTGCCAAGCTTGTTAGAGGCCTAGCTTTCTTCTATCCTTTTTACTCCAAATACATAAGATCCAGATCCTGAGCCTTCCGGATGCAAGGGCAATGGTTTGTCATGCTCTCCAGGGGAGTCACAAGTGCTAGAAAACGGTTCTTTGCAAAGACTATTTTTTAAATAGTCTTGGACTCTCTGGGTATATATTATATACACATAAGTCCATCCGTTTGCATCGATCTGTTTTGGAGACACGCATGTTCCTCGCTTTCACAAGATTTGGTGCTTCCTTGACTCGTTGAGGCGCCCCAGCCGCTGACTGAGCTCGCTGAAGCTGATGCTGCCGCTCAACCTGAGTGTAGAGATGATAGAATATGATGGGCTTTCCGAGGATGTCAGGAGTCCGGGGATCAGATGTAAATTTTCAAGTTGCAATTCGAAACACAAATGAGTTCATAGAATTCGCCTTCTTTCACGATGTGCCAAACTATTTGAGCGTCCCGTCCGGACGTTGCATGGGTCAACTGTTGCGTGCAGGGAGTCGTGATTGGAGCCATACAGGATCATACAGGTATCTTTCCCCGTGACTGATGATCGACATATATCATGCAAATCCGAATCGAACAATCATGGGGTATCCTGAAGTAATAATGAGGAAGTTCTACTTATAAAGACACCTATTTGGAACAAACGTCTCCTCGTCTCCTCGTCCATAGGTCGGGAAGTGCTGTAGGCTAGCTAGGCTGCGTCATGCTGCGTGCCACCATGGTCACCTGCGTGCCACCTAGGCTGTATCTCTGAGACCTGCGTCAAGAGGCACAATTGAACAGTTTCTCCTGCGAGCTTCGCAAGGCCGTCGCATGGGAAAGACATGTTGATCCTCCTGATCGTGATGCAATATAGGTATTCATGAACTCTTTGCATTTACATGTCCTTCGGGGTGACACTTGCTTGGAGTTGCCCGAGTAGTTTTGCAAAACAAGACACCGTCACGGGATCACTGACTGGGGATCCCAGACGGACCGTTTGGAGAACTCTCTTCACCCCTGGTGCACACCACTGCACACCGTCACTCATTCGTCTACTAGTTCCCCATGCCTGCCTCGTCTGGGTTTTCATCCACTCCACGTCATGGCCCATGTTCGCCATGAATCGGTCCAGAGAGTCAGCTCCGTACCGAACCCGGACCGTCGGAACGTTCCGAACCCAGGACCTGCCGGTTCCGAACCGGACCGGTGCCGAACGGGAAGAGGCGGCTGGAGGGTTCGCGGCAGAGGCGGAGTCTGAGAGCGAAGAAGCGTGCTATGACTTGGTTTTTGAGGTGACAGGATGGTGACATGGAAGCATTGTGACTTACACGAACGTAGTGTATTCTCTTGTCCTATTTGAGCAACTCTAAAAACCTTGCTTTATGTGTTGAGACAAGGTCTTGTCATATGAAGCCCTCGCGTAAGCAAACACCATGACTTTTGTAAGGTTGCGTAACCATTTCGGGATATGATGTTGCTGAAGCACTTGCGTAAGCTCATTCTTTTTTTTTTTCTGAGTCCAAGATTGAGAAAGAGGAAGACAAGCAGCCACATTGGAGCTGTTGCATGTGTTTGTGATGTTCTTGTTTGGGACTTAGTAGGATGGACTATCAAGGTTGTTCTGAACACAATCTATGCTCATTCAGCCCTTGGGCCCTTGAGGAACCTTTAGTAAATTTAGCTGTTTTTAGTTCAGACAGGAAGATGGGGAAGGAGACCCATCCCTGTCCGGGCAGTCAAGCAGTGTTGGCCAAATGCGCCAACCTGTTTGGAATGAACGTCACCAAGCTTGGATCACATGATGTTACACTTTTGTTTGCACAGAAGGATTTTTGCGCATAAGCTGCGTGTAAGCAGTTGCGTAAGGATGGCGTAAGCGCACTCATCCAAGGTGACTAGTATACTTGTAGCCCAGAATGGGAGCAGGCTGGACCCCAAGCAGGAGACGAACACCAGCTTAACCGAGAGTTCTCTCGCCCGGAAGTTGTTCAAATCTTCATCGATTCCACGGCCAACGCAAATTTTGGACTTCATTGGTTGTCAGCCAAGGCTCAGGCATTGAGCAAGCAAGCGCGCAGACGCGCAAATAGGGACCGCAGGATCTGAGGAAATTAGCTTTTCTTGCCTGACTAGTTCCGCGTAAGCCATAACTGTGGTTTGCGTAAGGATGGCGTAACCGCCAGCGGAAGCAAATTGATGCGGCGTAGGGAGTTACTGCAGGCCTTTTGCCAGCTATTTTTTGGCAATAAAGAACAAATTGTCACCAAGCGCCCAGACAACAGAGGTTTTGCACATGGTGCTCTTCTGTTCAATTTGACAAGCATGCACATACCTTGAAAGCCCTTTGAGATGTCATACATGGCCATCAGCAAACCAGGAATCCATCATAAACAGGTTACAGAAGCTGCCTGTAGTCCCGCACATTTCTTGCGTTCGAGACCCTTTGAATTGATGCCAGCGAACAAGCCACGAAGCACCGAACGAAACGCAATGAGAAACCATGATCGTGCGAAACGCAAAACTTTCAAAAAATCTCAAAACCAGAATCCATAGTCAATTCTCCAAGCAGCGAAAGAACATGTTCTTTTTTGTATTCATATAAGTACTCACGGGGTGTCCCATATATACTGTATATATGCAAGTAGCATGAAAAACGCTGTGAACACGATTGTTCATGTTTTCTTTCTCATTGGTAGTTTTGGTTTCGCAAGAGTTTCACTGGAAGACTAAAGACGCTCCCACAGGTACATCAGGTCCACTTCCCTCACCGAGCGTTCCCAGGACCGGTTTTTGGATGGCCATGCAGTGTGTGTAGGGGAATTGATTGTGAATGTTGTAACTGCAAGGCTGTTGTTTTTGCCATGTTTTTCTAACTAAGGGGCGGTTTGGTGTGTTGTTTTAAAGCAAAACTGGGCAAAACATGCAAGTGTTGGAGATGTTCCTGAGTGAATGATTGCCAAGTTCATTCAAACAACATAGCCATTCCAAGAGCCCACCCAATGTTGACAGCTTTGATCACCTGTAGGACGGACGCCAACGACTCCATGATGCCAGTCATTTTCTTTCGATTATCTCCTTGTCGTAGGGATAGAGAGACACTGCGACTCTCATGGATGGAGAGACTCAGCATGGAACGATGTGGAATTTTGTTGTCCCATATTTAACATTTGATATATGACATACTGACATACAGAATGATGATATACTGCTATTCATGGCTTTCCTATGGGACCATCGGAAGAGTCACACTTGAAATTTGGGTCACCATGAAAGTTTGACCGTCCAGACTGTCTTCAATCGGCCTTCTCAGTGGTGGAAAAGACGCTATCCTCACGTGATGCCGACACGGTCGTGGGAAGTAGTTCGACGCATCCAGTTGGATCCAACGATGCCGAATAGTGAACGTAGTCATATAGTTCTGGAGAATCTAGAAGCTAATGATGTCAATAACATAATCAGGAGGATCAGTGACATCCCACTTCAGACATCCCTCCTTTGAGTGTCCACCATGCGCAGAGTTGGGACACTTTCTTTGGCCAGCGACAGAGGACATTGTGCCACCTGTGGATGTCACATGCCTCTTGTTGAGGTCACAAGACATTGAGCCGTATTGCTGGGGCAGCTTGGCTCGTGGCCGCGGCACTTGGCTCATGGGCCGCCGTAGCAGCATGCTGTCCCGATTTCAACTCGGATATTTGATATCTGAATAGAAGCAGCGCATTCAGGCGGGTAAGTTGCTATAGAAAACACCATGGAAAACCAACATCTGCGTTGTACACCGAGTCAGAACCAAAAACAACTTTTGAATACTTTTGAATTATATATATATATAACATATGATTAGTAATATGATTCTATATATGTGTGTGATGCAATGCATACTTGGGTCTCAAAGAAGCAGCTTAAAGTGGTTGATGCCCTAAACACTCGATCCGGGGTATATTCTCTATGTCCCCATTGAATGGTGGTGTCCTGATTTCCCATCTACATAGTGTGCAGAAACCCTTGGAATCTTTGTCTTTGGAGACCAATATAATATCATGAATGCGTCTCTCAATACGTGCCACTACTTGAAGGTTTTGCGGAAACGCCATCAGCGTAGTTGAGGTGAAAAAGGGAGAATCTTACTGTAAATCAAGACAATTCACTTATCCTATAAGTATTGTGCTGGTACAGCACATTCAATTTCTCGACAAGTTTGAAGTTCTCGCTAACCACATTCTTCTTGCCAACTGACCTACACATCCGACCGATGGATGCCGCCCTTGCCTGCAACGCTGTCCGCGCACATGCTCCGTGCCTGGCCGCAGCACGCTGGGGATCGGCCGATGGACTTGGAAGATACGGCCAGAGGCTCAGACAGGCTCAGAAAGGCACAGGCTCAGAGAGGCACAGAGGCTTCACAGAGGCTTCAAACGTAGGTCAGCGGATACCGGGAATGAATGCGAGATCTCTTGACACACCAACATAAAGGTCAATATATAACCCCTGCAGATATGCTTTGGCATGTCTCGGGCAGATTTGAGGACCATTGTATGCACACTTGCAGCGCCAAAGTAACTGCAAAAGAATCAAAGAAACTATATAATATAATGGTATCAGAAATGGGGACGATGTGTTGCCCACCCTCTCTGGGTGTCCTCAGAACACCCAGATGTTCAGATGGTCCAGGGATGTTTTTGCAATCAATGCCAGGGGCCCTCAAAACCATGAACAAAAACAACAGTTTTGCTAGAAAAAAACAGGGTTTTTGATGGTTTGTGGGGCCCGTGGTGGTCTCTAACCGCTTTCTTTGGGCAAGTCTGGAGGCGTCCCAGCTTCGCCGCTTCGACCTCGGTTCCCAAGCCATGGGCGGCCTCAAGGCGAGATTGACCGTGGGGCCAAGCGAGGTGACCTGAAACTGGAACCCTTTAGTGACTTTAGTGGTACATATATATATATATCATATATTGGCAACCTCAAGGGGCTGTTCAACCTCAAGGCAGGCTGTTCAAAGAGAAGAGGGTGAATCTTTTTCTCAGGGGCAGGAAATCGCTCGACTCGAGGTGTTTTTCACGTTGTGCTACAGGGGGAGCCTGTTCAAGAGCACTCTGCCTCATCATGATGTTGTGCTTGGAACCAGTTCGGAGTTGAGTTTGACCTACGAAATCGTCTTGCACAAGTTCTCATCGTCGATCTAGTGTGAAACTTTGCAGCGACCTGCGCTACTTCACGCTGAACCTTCTTACGGTTGAGTCAGTCGCGCTTAGGAGGCAAAGTTATGTGTGTGTATATATATATATATAGGTAACACCTTCAGCAGAGCGATCTCACTGAGTCTTGGCAGTGACATCATCATAGAAGTGAAACAATGCCCCCACATCCAGTAATGTGTGGTGATTTCCATGGAATTACTCTTGACAGTCTAGGAATCTCTTGGGTCCATTTTGCAGAGCCTTGTACTTGAAAAGGAAAAACACATGCCGGATTCCATGTCTTTTTCTTGCTTGTCGTGCTGATGCCCGGAAGCCGGCAGAAGCTTTCATTCATTCTGCATGTATCAAAGTCCTTACCTAAACTGCCGGCCAGGACTACTATGAATACTGTGATATTTGTCCCAAGCACATGGGACATATTTTGCTTCACGATGAAGTCCCGGTGACACAGAGCTCTGTTCAGAGCTCCGCTGGTCGCTGGTCGCTTCAGGTCGGAGGCCCGACCTCGTGGACGGCTCGTGTGTATGTGGACTTGCGGCTGCTTGCGCCGGCCGAGAGAGTTTGAACTCAGGTTCGATGTTTCCTTTGGGGGGCGGACGTGGACTAGGGACGTTTGGGCTGGATGTCTTGGCATTGGGGTGCGGGGTGCCGCACCTGGACCCGAAGAAAGAACGGTAGCTTAGAAAATGGGACATGACCCAACAACAAACAGGTACAACATGGTACAACCGTACATACTTGTACCATCGTGTAGTAGTACCAATTTTCCGAGGTACAAACTGAGACTCCAGGCGATAGGCGCGACCAATCAGATCGCTTGGTTTCTCCTGGTACCTCTGTTTGGCTCGGGGGTGTTCTTGCTTGGGGATCTTGATGAATCGCATCGGCCCAGCGAGCGGACAACAAGCCGCTGCTGGTCGCGATCCAAGACAAACCCCTTGTGGTGATGTAGTCTCGATAATTGGAGGTGGTGTGCTACCCTCCCTCCAAAGCGTTCCGGCCCTAGGAAACCATGACCCCTCTACAAGCAGGGGGTTGTCTACTTCCATGTTTGTTGGAGGGAGAGTATATCACATATATATATATATATATTGCAAGTTTACCATCCACCTTGGAACAGTGAACATGATCAAGTAATGTTTGTTCAGGAAAGCCATCCTCATCGACTGTTTCATTGTGGGAAAGACCTTCCAAACACTTACCACTGGAAGCCCCTACACTACTGATGGATCTCCATTTGACATCGTTTGGAAGGTCCAGGTGTACTTATATCCCACAAGTCCAGTCTGACCCAGTAAAACCTGAAATTGACCACCTCCTTGAGTAGTGTTTCTGTAGGACCATCTCAAATCAGCTCCGTTCGCTCGACCGGTTGATCTGCGCGCCACCGCGCTCCAGGACGGCGCGGCCGCGCGCGCCGCGCGGGCGGAGCCGGGCGCCCGGGACGGAGCGAGGTGCTTCCGCCGCCGGGTGGAAAGCATGAGTGAGGACGGTCGACCACACGGCTGCCATGAGTTCATCGTTTTTGATTTCATCAGATGTGTTGATACTGGATCACGGCTGTGTTTGTCCTTTATGGTGCAGCGATTTGCAATGATGGGTATATCTTTGGCATGTGATTACTTTAAGAGAAAAGGACAACAGGCATCTGAAACATTCTGAAACAATCGTTTGTTTTCTCAGCAAGTACAACACACGCGGCCCAACACGCATCACACTACGCCACATCACAACCACAGAGGTCCTCATCACCAGCCAACGCTCCAGTGCACCACAGCCAATCACCACAGGTGGGCCACACCGGGACCGTGGAGGAGCTGCAGTTTTGAGTCCAAACTTTGAACACTCCAAAGTGTTTCTGGTGTTGCACGGTTTTGTTTAAGAAAAAAGCAACTGGCAACATATTTTCTCAACCACCCGTGTTTCCGGGATTCAGAAGCGCAGCTGGTGACACCGAGGAATGGTGCCTCAGCTGCGGCGGCGCTACGCCGCTGGCGGCAGAAGACAGGGCCTGCACCGATGGAGGAAGATCTGCCTGCACCAAGTCGAAGTAGCAATCTGAATCTTGGAGTGTATGGAATACAGTGTCTTGGAGTTATGGTTTCCGAGGTGCACTGACTACAGTATCCTTTAGATGGGGGTCCATATAAAGCGACGAACTTGGGGAATGTGCCATTACTCTCAATCCACTAAGATGTCCGGTTGTTTGTCACCAATTGTAGATGTCTTATATATATATATATATTATACACGGGTTTTCTTAAACAGGTCAATTAGACATGTTAGGTGTTGTTTTGTCCTGCATGGAGTTCTTTTCACCAAAGTGATCCCCGACGGGCAAAAATCATCAACATTTGCACTTTGTGTGCCACGATGGCACTTGGACGTGGCACGTCGGTGTTCAGTGCGTTTGGTGAATCAGTGGACTGATGGACTTGTGCAGGGATCTTCAGATGGCTGAAGAAGTCGAGTGAAGAAGGCTACCTGGTGAGGATTTCCAAGGTCCAGGTCTCTTGCGCATGGCCAAAACTGTTCTGAACACCGATGGGGGCATCAAATAACCATATACACAGAAAGCCGCCAGTTTGGCGCAAAGGGGTCTGTAGAAGGTTGCAGAAGCGGGTATAGACTATAGACTGTGCCGGGTTCCACTCTCTCCGCTTTAATTAGCTTTAAATGTGTGTTTGGTGATGCTATGTTTCGAAGCTTGGGGACACTCCCAACAGCCAGTGGTTTCTTACCCCCACTGACCCCCAGTTCCACTTGGGTTACTTATCGGAACCAACAAATGATCCACAGCAGCCCGTAGTTCGCTCTGTATTGTATTGACAAAACACTGTACTACACTGTACTGAGTGGTTTTGGAGGGATTTTTGAAAACGCATAAAAACCACTGAAACTGAGAGCAGGATAAGCTCAGGCGCACCGCAATGTCTTTAGTAAACTTGGTCGTTGTGAAATGCACAAGTTTACTGGCGACGTTGGAAGTTGAGGGTATATATATATATATATTGAGTCTGTCCCATTACCTGTAACAGACAGTAAACAATTATCGCTTGTTTTGAACAAGGCCTTTACTAGCAATTATTAGGATATACCCTATTATATATATTATTGGCATCTGTAGGACTGTAGGCTGGGTATTTGCCTGGAGCATTGGAAGACACCAAACCAAAAACGACCGAAGCGTTGCCAAAGGGGTGCCCTGGGAAACTCAGGAAAAGCTGGAGAGGAAATCGCTGGAGGCAGGGCGCACTCAGCTTCCGAGGTTGGTCACAAGAGTGAGAGAAGTTGGAGAGAAGCACAACTGCGCTGTATAACGAGCAGAATATTGCAAAACAGTGTTCCTATTGATTGGGTGTGCGCTGTAGGAAGGAGCCAGCAAGCAGACTAGAGAGGGAGTCAGTGTAGAGTCTTTGTGTGCACGTCGAGGAGTCGTCCTGGACCGCTCAGATGAGGATACCCATCTCAAAGCGCCATGAAAGCGGAATCAAATAGACTTATATGATTCCTTTGTAATCCTTCTGGACAAAAAGGCCTAAGGCAAGACCTGTAGGCGACTTCAACGCGACACCTCATGCATCCTGTTTCATCCTGATATCCTTCTGCGCAAAAAATAGAGGCCTTCAAAGGCCTAAGACCTCTAGGCGACTTCTTCAACGCGACACCAGCTGTGCGCCAGCTCCGCACAGCGCTCACCTCCGAGGCTCTCAGAGAAGAGTATGCCATCGTGCGTAGCAACCTGGCACAGCTGGATGAAGTCAATGGATAGCGAGCAGTTCTTTGAGACGGTCTCCCAACGTCCTCAACTCCTGCCCAGCTATTTGGAACAAGCCAAGGAGAGGAAGATATAGGAAGACCCAGGTTCCGTTCAGTTCGGAAGCCAAAGCAGAAAGAATTTGGCTCAGGTTTTTTGTGAGGGTGAAACGCTACAGTATTTGCTGGACACAAACCTGTGCCCTTGTGGCCCAGGTTTGACAGGATGATGGAGATCATCCATCGATCTCCGTCACCAGTTGGAGGCTTTTGTTTCGTACGTGTCACATGGATTAGATATTTCGGATGGCGTAAGATGTCAATGCTGAGACTTTGGCACAAACACGCCACAAAACACGTTGACCAATTTGAAGATGTTTGCACTAAGTCGATTCCTTCTATTGGTGGCCATTCCTTGGAAAGGAACCCGTGTTGCACGAGCCAACTTCTATGTTTCCATTGTTCGTGGCGAGGAGGAAGGGATGGCTGGACCGGGCAACGACGTGTGCGTGCAAACCGCCGAGTTTGTGCTGAAGCATCTTCCTGTGGGCTGCAGGTCGAGACGGAGAGAGGATGATCAAGAGGGAACACTGACTGGACTGGAGTACTGCAGACGCGTGGAAAATCCGTTTTCATGGTTTCAACTACTGTGACAGGCCCACGGCCAGCCTAATCTTAACCCGTGAGCCCATGGCAACATGTATCCCAACTCCTCTATCACGCCTCCCGGAAAGGGATGTGAATCGATGGGGTCAGGTAGAGCACTACAGGACTGAAGCCTCCGTGATTTCATCTCCCCAGTTCCACTATGTTCCACTCCTCAGCCACAGGGTGCCGATATCCACTTAAGAGGGCAACTCACTGACTCGCTCTCTCAATCCGACCAAATCCCCTCAACTCACTCCACCCCCGCCACGACGCCTTCCGTAGTCCACCTGAAGACACCGCGGACGCACGTGAACTGCGGGCGCAGCGTTTCGAGGCGCCTGGTGGACCTGGGCTGTGGCGATGCGACCTTGGCCGCCGAGCTCCAGAGCCGTGGCGCCAGCGTGAAGGCGAGGCCGGTCCAAGGGGTGAGCGGTGAGCGGTGAGGCTGAAGATGGCTGAAGCGCCTTGCAAGACAAGAATCGAGTGAATGGACGGAGAAAAATCGGTGTCATTCGTCTCAGATGTTCTGAAAGGCAACGAATTGGGGTCTGGCAAGAGAATGAATTGACCTTCAGACCTTCATGAAGCGAGAGATGACGAATTTTCTAAGAGATCGCCAAAAAAGGTCGAGGTGTGAACTGTGCAAGTCTTGGTTGGACATTCCCTCCTCAGGTTCGGAAGCTATAGAGTCTAATGTCGGGCACCCGAATGACCCTCCATGCCGAAGCCATATAGCTTCGGGGCAGCCCAGCAGCTTCGAGGTCACCAACGTGGATGCAGCTCGTTTGGCTCCGGGTGTTGCCCCTTGGCCACCAGTCGTCTCACCGTTGTGGCCAGAGATACTCAGGCAGTTGGTGTCAGTGATATTGAAAGGGGGATAGGGGAGGAAGCACAGAGAACTATGCAGCAAAAAGGAGTCTATCATATATCAATATGTTCACGTGAGTGTTCACGTGTTTCTATCATGTGATCGAAAGTGTCGGCGGGCCAGAACAAAACCTTAAGGCGCCAAGGACTCTCGATGAGACGGCCAGGATGGCGAAGTAAAATAGGAGGAATGGCGAAGAGTTGATGGGAACGTTGGTTGTTTGATGGGAGGTGTCAACTGTCAACCTATTTCAAGAGATTTCAATCACTCAGCTCACTCTGAACTTTAAACCACTATCCGAACTGATTCGACAATCCCTCAGATAAATTTGGTCCCTTTCTTTCTCTCTCTCTCTCTCGAGTTTCTCTCTCTCTCTCTCTCTCCCCGTTTGACTCTCGTTTGTCAAAAGGGCCCCATGGTCACTGGCACACTGGTCTAATGACAATGTACTCGCAGGATCTCGCATGGACTCGCCCTGAATGATAACTCGATACGTGAAAAGGCTTCGCTTCCGCCTCCAGCGCCCAGAAAGATCTTTCATATCGCTTCCCACCAGCCAGGCTCACCTTCCAACCAACCGGTCCCCAACCAACGGGCACCGAAACCACCACCCGTTGCTACCCCGGTCGCTCCCACCGGTCGCTCCATACACCGGACGGACGCGTCCCACGGACGCGACCGTGCGGAGGTGGTGCAGAACCTGGGCGCCTTGCCGGGCGACTGGTCCGGGCGCTTCGAGGCGGCGGTGCTGTGCCGAGCGCTGTGGAGCTTGGATCCCTTGAAGGCGTCACGGCCGGGCGGGCGCCCCGCGGGGGATTGGAGAGATGTGAAGAAGTGGTGCGTATTTGGTTTGTGAAAGCATGAAGACATTAAACAGGTTAGATCCTGTGGGTGCAGGAGGTGAAGCTGGCCTTTTTGCTAGTGTGTGTCGAGTCTGGAATATGTTTGAGCTAGAGTTACCAGGACCATCCAGTGGGTGTCATGGCTGGACTACCCTGCAGTACTTAGGGATCTCCGTCGAACTGTGTCTTGAGAGCTCTCCCAAGGCCACTGTTCAGTTTTTCATAGGACCATCAAACCACCTGACGATCGCTGGCTTGCTCCATTCCACGCGACACTTAGAGGATTGATGCTCCAAAGGCTTCCTCCTCATGTGCAGTCGGGTTGTTCACGAACAGAATGCTTTGGGAGTGTGGTTTTTGTGTGGTCGCGCACCATCTCAGTTTTGCCATTTGTATTTCACAACGCGCGGGTCCTGCGATGTTGTTTTGTGGATGTTGCGATCAATGTGACATGGTGTGACTAGTGGCTAGTGACTATAGTCAAGGCCCTTGCACATGCTGAAAAACAAGCGTATCGCCTGAACGATTACCGCTAAGTCGGCTGGTCATTTTTTGGTGTGGTTTATAGAGTTATATGGTAGAGCTTCGCAAACTGGCGATGTCATAAGGGTTGTTGTCGCTGTTGCTGTTGTTGGTCATAGCATGTTAGCGATATGTTCATTCAACAATAAAAGACTGCACTTTGCGATGTTTGTATGATTTGAACGTCGCAAACTGTGATCCGGAAATGATCCAACATCGACTTCCGGAAGCAGCTCAAAGTGGCTATTTATGAGGCCACGGCTGATATCAGATTAACATTGATTATGGCATGATATTATGGAAATGTTTTTTCAACCTCTGCAAGACCAAAACAACACACTATTTACGCGTCTTTTTTCAGTAGTAGCCCAACAACAACAATATGAATATATATATATATAGTAAATACATTTTTGGACAGGAGCAAACACAAGCCAAGGTGTTTACCATATTTTTCGTTTAGGAGTTTTAATGGATATAAATACCGATGTTATTGAACGGCAAGCCAAGAACCACCTGTATTTACAAGTGTCTCTTTAGTGTTTTTTTTTGGGGGGGGGAAGCCCAAAGTTGTTTGCTTTGCAAGAAATGCAGTAATTACCACCTGCCACCGCATCTTTTGCATCACCAACTACATCACCAATCTGGATGGTCAGCAGCGAATCAAGAACTCACACATGTGTCAACCGACATCAAAGTGACATCGCCCCAGCGCGAAGCTTCTCAGGAACACGCCGGCCTCGCTCCGCTCACATCGTGGTTGGCGGATGATGTTTTCCTCATATATATATATATGTATATGCATACTACTATACAAACAAGAAGCTACTAGGGTCTCCTGGCCCTTACTACTGGGAACAAGAAGCTACTCAGTCGTTTCCTGTGCAGCCCAGACATCCAGGTGCTCAAAGAAGCACATCGCGTGTTGGAACCGAGCCCCCGAAGCCGCCTCGTGGTGGTGGAGCCTTTCCGCCGCTGGTGGCGACCGAAGGACCACGAGGCACCGGCGCCCATTTCCAGTGCGGTGGGACAGGAGGATCTCGTCATAGAAGATAGGTTGAAGGTAGAGAAGGTAGGTTGCGAAGCAGAAGGATGATAGCTATTGGGAACACAATCGGTGGAATGCCGGTCCTTTCATCCTTTTGGGAGCCTTCGGCAATGTGAATTGAAATATATATGACCAGATGATCAATGTTTTCAGTTTTAAATATTATTGTGGATGCAATTTAATGCATTAAACACTGCAGGTGAACAAAACTTCAGACTCCAATGCTTTGTTGAGGAAACATATGGACAGTAAAGACCACAAACAGTGAGAAAACATGTCCGGATTTTTCTTGGTACACGATGTCAAGTGTCCAATTGGAGGTTTGTATGCAAAGTCGGCTCGTCCATGTGTGACCCCAAACGGATGGTCCTGGTTGGCTAACGATTGGTGTTTCAGGAATGTTGTCACCGCATGGACCTGTTGGACAGCCTTCATCCTTCCCAAAGGCTCATTCACCCCTGACAACTAGGGTTTCGGACCTCACAACTAGGTTTCGGTTGGTTCGGGTAGGCCGCCTCGACACGCGAATGAACACTCCAGGACACTTGCCAGCAACCCCAGAATCAGCTGATCAATGCCCTGGAGAGGCAGGGGGCAGAGGTTCGATCTCTTCACTCGAGCACTGAAGCATGCTCAGCTTCGGCGGTTCGATTCAGGGCCCCAGCGAGGAATGTTGAGGTCCTGTTGATTTGGTGTTTTTTTGGGATTGAAACCGTGGCTTGAAATGTCCTCCTCTTGTGAATCCCTGGGAGAGTCACCTGAGCCACCTGTGTTGAATTCAGTCGCAGCCAGACATATTTGCATTGCGCCTTCCCTGCTCCTTGAACCTCTAAGTCTAGATCTCTTTCATGTCATCCCACTCATCCCACCGTGCCAGGGCAGGGTTTTACATCTTCAAGGACCAGAGTGTGAACATCGAAGGTGATCCAGAAGGTCTTCCAGGGAAGTCCTTCATGAAAGGCGTCTTTCAATATGTGCTGGCATCTCCAAAGCGTGACACGCGTGACGCGACTTCGTGATGAGTCAAAACAAGGAGTCATGATGAGTCATTTCTCATCATTTCTCATTCAGGAGTCACAGAGCTCGGGCTGGTGTTTAGTCCCATCCAGTGAGTGGATTATATAGACACTCCTGACTGCTGGATGTCGTGTCGTTTTCGGATGTTGATTCTTTTGGAGATGGAGGCCCTGCGGCCTGCCTAGCAGCTCGCAGGGTGATCCAGATCGGGGAGGGCGACGTCGGAATATGTCCGACCTCACCGGCATTTGGGGTGGGTTTCTGTCTACTTTGCCGTCCTAATACGAAATCGACTGGAGGTAAGAGGTGGACAGAAGACATGTCTGCAGATGTTCTAAGGAGCTAAGGGTCGACAGAGCAACATGCAGCTAGCTGCAGACCTGGTCCATCAGTAGTAGATTGTTGTTCAGGCCTTTCTGTTACACTGTTAGACCGCTGTTGAATGTTTGCAATCCTGATCAATCCTGAAGAAGGACATAGGGGGTTGTCGAACAAAGGAATCTCACTTGTTGGAAAGTTTCACTATTGACTTCAGCAAAGGCTCAAGAAAAGGATGACTTTTGGGCAATCTTTGTTCTTAGGAAACCCGGTTTGCCGCTTGACCTCCCGCAATTCTGCACGTAACAGGTTGAAGTTCAATCACAACTGCTGGGGATTCACGGGCATTTGGGTTCGATCCCCTGGCGAACGTGCCGCCCATTTCAGCTCAAGTTGCGCAGCTGCGAGCCTCAACTGGAGCCTCTTGGCATTTTTTTGTAGATCCATCCATCCTTTAACTGGGGTCCTCAACTCTCACTTGGTTGACAAACACCCCTGCCCCCCTGACCATGGTATTTACGGTAGATGGTTTGGTTCTTTGTCGATTGATGGCAGAGCTCCATTGATTCAGGTCCGTTCTGTGTGATGTGTCTCCGCTTCAGCCGTTCTTTTTCAATTTTACCTGGACCCTCAAAGTACTTCCAAAGATTTGAGGTCCAGGTACAATACCAGGACCACTACCAGGACCTTCAAGTACCAGGACAGTACCAGGTAATTAGTACAGTACCAGGACCGAAACAAGTCATGACCGTCCGACGGGTTGATCCCATGTGGCGGGTCGGTCACTTAGTCGTCGTCCCGGACCAAGGTCGGTCACGTATATACAGACTCCGAGGTCACGAACTGGTTCAGTCCTGGAATAGACCTGTTTTTGTAGGGGTCACGCTTCATTTTCTAGTGTGCTTGAAGTTAGGGCCCTGTGCCATGCACCAGAGACAAGACAGCACCAGCACGGTAGAGGGACACAAGCCCTTTTCCCACTGAAATCGACAAGCACGTCGTAGACGTCGGATGCAGTTGGTGGAGGATCTTTGAGTTGTTTGAATGCTGACTGTTTATTTGTAATAGAACTCCCCAACTAGATTGGAAGTTGCATCTTCATATAGGCCTTAGGGATCCTTAGGGGTTTTACTGATCAACAGTTGAGCAAGTTGTAAGTTTTACACATTAATTACCCTTATACGAGGTCACGCGGTGGTTTACACCTTGCCATCAGCAAGAAGTTTTGGTTGGATGATGCACCTGGTCCCTCGATTGGAGTGTGACAGTGACCCATACCGAGGGTCCAGGGTCCCAGTGTCGCTTGGGGTGTCTAATCATAGCGGTGATTCGGACTGTCCATACACCAGGGCCCCCAAACCCGGGGGCCTGGTGTATATAGGTCCACTAATCGTCAAGTATTAACAGCCCATATATTCATCTGCCGTTGGACCATGTTGGGCATGGAGGTTTGACTTAAGCTTGGCCTTGATTCATTTCTCGTTTCCATCACAGGAATGGAGAGGCTCTGAATTCCTTACCTTCCGCGGCAGATGGATCGCTTCAGGTGCCCAGCTGAGCTCACCGGGCGGATCGTCCGCTCGTGCCCAGCTCGCAATGGTCCATGAGACTTTGATTCAGCATGGCTCCTTGGAACGGCGGAACGGCCGAGTCCGGCCTGGACGAAGCGAAAGGGAAAGACACGCGTGGCGCACACCCATGAAGAGGAGCGCCCGGGTTTGCTCATAGATCATCAGTCTGTGTTTACCATCTAATGTGCATCCAGACAGGGTGGTGCTGGTTTGTATAATGTTCTTTTTGTTTTGCCTAGAAACGCCATGGCGGGTTCTGTGAGTTGCTGGCCGTGGCGAAGCTTGCGAAGCTGCGGGGACTGGATGGACTGGATTGTTACATCTAAGCGAGTGTTTTGGTGAATAGAATGTGTGCGTGTGTATGTGTGTGCTTTTTTTCATGTTTTTATCTTCATGTGATGTTTTCATGTCTTCATGTCTTCATGTCATCCTGAGTTCTGCCGTATGTGTTTTGTCTTCATGTGATCCTCAGTTGATGGATATCGCTGACCCTTGCCGACCTCGCTATTTCATGCGCGCGCACGTGCGACATGCTTCCACGTGCGAGTTCGTCCGTTCAGAAGGTGTCGCCGGGTGCGAACCTGGCCGTTCGGAAGGATGGGAGAACGAGGAGTCACATAATGTCGGGGTGGTACCCTAAGCCCTAAACCCTAAACCCAGTGAATGGACTATGGGCACCCCGTCTTCCAAGTTCGGCACCCCATCTTGTGACTCCTGGAAGTGTGGCTTACATTCGATTCTATTTCAATTGAGAAGTGAGACCTCTTACCAGGACCCACTGGAGTTGGGTGGTTTTTCGGGGCGATCAATTGAAGCCCCTGGCCCCGGGGGTCCTGGTATAAGTCTTACACCCATTGGACCTGGTACCACCATGTCCAAGCTCAGCTCGCAGTCTTCTGCAGCCAAGGCTTTGAGCTCGCGCATTCGCCCATGGTCACGGATGCAGTGCCTCGGCCCACCGCGCGAAGACGGACTCGGATCCGTTGGCATCGTCCCGGTCGGGGTCATGGGATGCGTGGGGCGGTACACGTGATGGTGTGGACTGTCGTGTGACTTCGGTAGTACCCCAGAAGTCTGAGACATGAGCCGCTCAGAAACCGGATGAAGGTACTCTCGGTTTTGCGGTGATGATTTGCCCCCCGGAGTGAAGACATGTCTGGGGAATATGTCTTTCCCCAGTTCCTGGACGGCCAATCCAAGTAAGGTACAAACAGGTCACACCAAAGGGAGCTGGGTCAATACCTGGAGCCCGGATCGCACCCTGGTAAGTTGACCATGCCCAGACACGACACATGGGACTGCCATAGGACTGCCGCCCCATTGACCCCCCAGTCAACCACCCCAACTGATCGGAATATATGGCAGTCCCATGGGTCGTGTCTGGGATGTCTCATGAGTCTAGATCATGTTTGGTGGGAAAAGGCCGCCACGGTCGCTCCGTGCCAGCCATACCGTGTCTTCGCCATAACCTGTTCGTACCTCGGAGCAAACTATTGATATATAGCGCATAGGCTAGCGCATAGCTGTTCTTTCAAAAGGATGTAACATCCCATGTTGCTGTTAAAACATCCCATTTGGCTGTTGAAAGTGGCTTTCTTGTCCCATGTTTCGAAGTGGCTTTCTTCCTTCCGACCGGTCTGGTCGGAGGGGACGGAGCGGTTTCGACGCATGGCCAACGGGTGTAGTGTAGTTACTGTACCGAGAAAGGGTCTGCTCCTAGGGGGACCTGAAAGGGACGTTCCCCCATATACTTACTATACAGGAATGTCTATAGTTGTTGGACTCCCAGGGTATAGCGTAGTTATATAGTATTAAATAGTTAGCTATACCTGCCAAGTTTGTTGTACTGAGATTGGGATCTGTTCATAGTCTTGGAACGTGCAAGTAGTAGTCAATTTTGCGCTACAGTGAAGCCTCAGGGGCCACGAGACATTGTCCAACAATGAAGCAAACTAAGCTAAGATGATGGGTGTCCTGCCTGCGGGTGGCAGATGCCCCAATCCAAGAAATGAATTCCAGTCAGACTCAAGCAGATGCTGCTCATGTTGCTTCTGAAAGTTGCAGAGAAATGCCGGCACGACATTCTCTTTCGAAAGCCAGACCTGTAACAAACTCGTGTTGCATTGGACCAAAAGGACGGACCCAACAACTTGATCAACGCCCGACGCCACCCAGCGCTGCGGTGTGTCCTTCAGCCAGGTGTCCTTCATCAGCGCTGGTTCGGCGATGCGTGCCTTGCGGGAGACAGGTCACTCCATCACGCCGCTGGGAGATGCGTCCATGGACGAGGTCGTCGGGTCGGGCCGGGTCGTCCATTCAGAAAAGAGGACACTCCATTATTGGACTGGTATTTTCCATGCCTACCATTGATTCCCTTTGAACAACCACTGAAATGCAGGTTCCAGCCCCTTCATGTCGGGGTCACTAAAGAGGTCACCCTACACTACTAAGGGACCTCCATTGGACACTCCTTGAAGGTTCAGGTTTATATTCCACGACCTTTCAAAGTGACCGAACTTGAGATCCCAGTGGCTGAGGTCACGAATCGTCCCTGAAGAGGTCACGTATACAGACTCCAAAGAGGTCATGTACGGCTCAGGTCCTGCGTTAATGGAGTGTCCTTTGGTGACTTCCAAACAACACACCCTTCGCCGCGCTTCCAAACGGGACCACCCCGTTCGTCGGCGTCGTTCCCACGTCGACTCGGGGAAAAGTGATCGGAATAGACCTGGACCCGCCTTCGTTGCCTCGGGTAAATTGCATATACTTAAGTACTTTATCTATAATTCTATATACCTGGACCCTCCTGTCGGGGTGTCCAATGGACTACCCCACACTACCTATAAATAGGCTTCCATTGGGCACCCCTTGGAGGGTCCTGGTACATACCCAATCGTTTTGATTGGGGGTCTTGTCCACCAAGCACATGCGTTCGTGCACCATGTGAGGACTTGCGTGGGTCCCCCAACCCGGCTTCGGTCGTACAAAAAAAAATTGACATGACCCGAAACAAACAACAGGTACCAGATGGCACCAGCAGTTCCAAAGGGTGCTATCCATGGAGGCTAGGCGTGTCCATTGGGAATCCATTATCCACTCACTTAGGAAGTATCAACCAAACGCCCCGGCATGTGACTCTTGGTACTGGTTGTACCGTACATGTACCCATTTTCTGAGGTATTTGGAGGGTAGAATGTGAATTTGCACCATCTCTGTGATGATCCGACCACCGCTTCGGCGGACCGTAGAGAAGGACCATCGACAGTCGCGACTCCCTGGTTTTTCAGCGTTCAGAAGTTGGGACATCACTCTCCAATGCAAAGCCCAATCAACCTGCAACATCCCCATCAACCTGCGGCGCGGAGTGGGGGTTCTTCGAACGAATTTCTGGGTCGTGCCAGGCTCGTTGTTTTATCTTTCTTCGCTGAAACGCTCGTGGCGAAATGGCTTCAGGCACTGGCTTGGTGATCACTTCCACTTCACAGACCCGACAGACCGAGGCGTTGGTTTTGTGGTCCGGGAAATGACGATGAAAATGACGAGCTGAGGTGATGCACCAGGGCCTACAAGGGGTGGTTCATGGACATTCCTTAGCCTCTAAGGCTCTAAGGGGTTATCAATAGAAGTTCCTGGTAGGCCCAATGTAGGCCTATCTCAATCTATGCTTGGGCCCTATACTCGCTATACTTCTCATGCCATGCAGACAATGCATGTTTGCTTTCTGTCACACCCCATGTTCAAACAATATTGTGTTAAACACACACACACAAGACTTATCCGCTGCATGCACAACACTGCCAATCGTGGGGCCTCCTTTATCTCAGATGGCCGGTAGAGATGTCTTTGACCGCGTGTAGCAGTTCTGGAGGCAATCCTAATATCCCGACCATCCAAAATTGGCATGCAGAAACCCAGTTGATTGGCCTCTTGGGGTTGTCAAGAGAATCCACATCGATTGACCTCAGAGTATCAGCCCGACTCGTCACATCAACGCGCCTCGCCACCAGGCGCGGTTTCCACCCCGGACGCCCCGGGCGCCGTGGCACCCAACGAAGCGCCGCACGTGAAGGCCCTGTGGACGAAGTGGTCCCACTTTTGGGGGTGGAATCCTCAGGGTGTTTCTGCAAGGATTCCACATCATCCTGGCTGATCCTGGCTGCATACTTGATGACAAGGAAAAGAGACCAATTCATGACATTTCATGACTATTCAAGAGTATAAGTATAAGAGTATAAAGTAGAATAATCAATCCCCTCCATTGGGCTTGTAAAGCCTCTTCATATTTGGGGGGCCATTAACTGATGATGAGTACATAATTTATCAACGTTATCACCTGCCAGCCTTTGCAGGCCGCTCTAGACACGGAGGCCACACCTTCCGCTGATGCCGGGGCAGGACCCTGTTTGGAGATCGAAGAGTTTTCGTGTTCCCCCTGGTGGGTGTGTATTTGGAATAGGATGACCCCCCCCAGTTCACGCCCCTGGAAGAAGGGAACATGAGTCAAAACATGTCAAAACCCATTGGTTGGAGATACACACTCATGGCCCACTCGCCACCGTGCTTCGGTCCACTTCTCGGATCCTCCAAACTCCTCATGGCCCGATGGGCCACCTTCTAAGAAGGTATGACTGGACTCTACCTACATCAATGTGTCTCCACAAAAACCGCTTGATAGGAGGGATCCATTGTGGGTATGCAGATCCATCGTGATGATACATTTATGGCTTCTTTCTTGTACCGGGATGAAAGGGTTGCGAAACAAAGACACACCATGTACGGATCCTGTTGTATTGGCTTGCTTCACCATCGCTGGTGATCAAGATTTTTTTTGTGTTTTAATAAAGGTCAATCCATGTCCATCCACTTGGTGCTAAGACACCTTTTTTTGAAAAAAATAAACGAATAGATGAGGGTGTTCAGGTATTGTTTGGTCTTGGAACCACTCAATTGAATGGATTCGCCCTTGTCTCCCTTGCAGGACGTATGGTGGAATTCTTTGCGCAGAGCTGTCCTCATTGTCGCTGGAGCATGAAACGGACCAATCTGCTGTTCATTCAGGAATTACATTTTCTGAGTGGAAACCCACTGTGTGTAAAGGAACAATGTTTTTTGATAGGCCATTTTCCACAGTTGTGAGGGACTGGCTGGATTGAAAGTTGGCGGGTCGCTGATCAAAGCTACTGGCGCCAATCAATCTTCTATTCTATAGATTCTATAGCTAAGCCGAGCCACATATAAACCACGCTTTTTGACCAATTCGTATAGCCATGCCATGTGTTCGGCATGGCGACGAAGGAACCCTGACCGAACCCGAAAGTGTTGGTTTTTCAACACTCCCTCCCCACACGCGAAACTCCCCAATTCGGGAACCCGGTGCGTCTGTTCATGAAAAGAAACCAAAAAAACACCCCCCCTTCTTCGTCCCGAATCCACGGTGGACGAGACGTGGACCGCCCAATTGGGTCCCGGTCCGTCCGAGGTCGACATCTGGATCCCATTTGGAACGATGCCCGGCATCGCTGGGCTTCGACGCGTCCAGAGGAAAAGCGCCGCGACGGTTGCGACCGTTTCGGGCGCGCGAGCGTGCCGTTTCGGCACGGGACGCCGCACCGGCAGATTCGGGGCAACGCACTGTACGGTGCACCGAAAAAGGGGGTCGGTTTGGAGAGGTGGAGAAGTGAAGATGGGGAAGTGTGGTGGTTTGAAGCCTTGACCGTCGAAGATGAACACATGTAATTTATACTATCACTGAGCCCTTTGGATCCGCAATACCCTCCTATCGACGGTGTTTGGAGACACGTTTATGTAGGTTCTCAGAAGGTGTGTGGATTCCCAAGGGCTGGCACTGCTCAATTCAAAGAGTGCTACATTCAAGCAACAAGCACTACAACGAGTTAACACCAAAAACAACTGATGAACCTCTCCCAGATCCAACCCATCCCTGGCCGTGCTCAGACCAAGCGCTCAGACCACACAGACCCAGACCACAGATGCTTCACCACTTGGACGCTCAAAACAGGAACGCTATAAAACACCAATATCAAACAAACACAACATGCAACAAGCACTTGCTTGGGTTGCTTCGCCATTTTTCGGAAGGTGTTGGTGGTGGATGACCGTGGTACACAACATGATTGGACATGTTTGGACTACACTCTTTAGATGTGCAACACATCATATGGACAGGGGGCCAAACTGTTCACACCAGAAGCTCGCGTTTTTCTATGCTTGCTCCACTCATCGCACAAATCCCATGCACTGAGTGATGTTTGATGATGTTGATCTTGCCTCAAGAGGACCCGGAGATCCTAAGGCTGCTGGTGTGGCTCCAAGACCCACTCCTCGCCTCCGAACCGTGGCGCGCCTCGCCGTGCTGCCACAGGAGACGGTGAGCTGGCAGCAGAAAGAGTGTTATGGTGCCCTGGAAGCACCAAAAAGCGGCCGGACTGGATGGAACCGCATGTTTTGGGGGGTTGGCTGCACGTTGGAGTAGCATAGTTTGGTCGAAAGATTCCACAGATTCTGAAGAGATTGTACTAAGCGAAGAGCATAATTCATATAAATTCCACCCAGGAGATCTCAACCATCATCCACCAGAACCCTTTCAGCTCGTTTTCGGTGGGTTTCTTGGTTCGTGAAATCGGCGATGGTCCTTTGTCGGTTCAGACCTCCGCTGAAATCTTTGAGGCGCCAACTGGGCTGAGGGCAAGGACCACGATGAGTGCATGAAGGAAGGCATCCACAGCTTTCCCACCGTCCGATTTTATAGTCCCTGGGCTTTGTTTAACTGTGGAAACCTGGGAAGTCGGGGCATGTATATTATATGTTCTGATGTGTTGTTTTCAAGATGGCTAAGTGATGGAACTGATGATGTTTGAACCAGATACAGATCCGAGTGTGTTTGAGGAGTCGTGGGGATGTTGGATGATGTTCCCTAGGGATCCAGTCGTACCTTCTCAGAGAGTATGTGGATCCCTAGGGGTTAGGGAGTTGAAGGATGGAACTGAAAGATCAAACCGTTCGTACCCCGTCGATAAAAGACGAAGGCGGGTAGAGCCGTAGAGCCGTGTGCGACGCGCAGACGTGTTTTCTATGCACCGCACCGGTCCGGACGAGCGGTGGGAAGTGGAGAACGAAGTTGGCACTCTTGTGAACTGCTGAGGAGCTTCTCGGAACATAGGAACAGACCCTCTATACCCGGAGCCTCCATACGCTGGAAATCCCTAGAAAGTGAAACGTGACCCTAGTAAAACAGGTATATATACTTCTGTATATACCGTACCCGTACCCATTTGTAGGAGTACCTTTGAGGATCGTAGATACCATCGCTCCTTCTCTTCATGATCTTCACCTCCACACCGCTCTTCGGTCTTCGTGGGGGTTCTTCCCCTTCCCTCCAGACTCATCAATTCCTGGACCCACGAGGCCAGTCTGGAGATTCTGTGGTGGATTTCACCGATGAGCGCACACCGGACAAGCTCATCGGGTTGGTGGCCTAAGAGGGAAGCGGGGAGCTGGTGGGCCTGGTGGGTGCGGGGCTAGCTGGCCATCGGGAGAGGAGTCGAAAGTCCGGGAATTTCAGAGTTTTGGTGTGCTGTCAGGCCCACACAGATGTTTGATGGGTTCATGTGGTTGCGCAGGATGTCCTTCGTGTCAAGTATGTGTTTAAACATCCTGAACCTTCAATCGTAGCACTTTTTTCTGGCGAACCAAGGAAATGAGCACTTTTTGGAGTTTCGTAGCGTTTTTTGATGAAACGAGCACTTTTGAATGAGTTTTAATGAAACGAGCATTTTTTCAAAAGTTGAACACTGAAGTCTTCTTGGGCCAAAGGTGGAAACTTGCAAAATGCGCGCAAAATGCCGCAAAACGCGCGCAAATTGCCACAAAACGAGCGCAAATTAAAAAGTGGCGAACCACCCCAACATGGGTTGGATATGAGAGGGGTCCACGTGCGATTTTTGAGTGTTTGTAGCGCTTTTTGCTTGAACGAGCACTTTTGCAAAACGAGCGCTTTTTTTGGTAGCGAAGGAAGGTTCAGGATATACTGTATTTGAACCTTTGTCCGGATGATATACTCCTTAAAATAAGCATGGGTTACGTGGAGTGAAAACCATTTGTTTGGTAAATCCCGAAATCCCAATGATACCAGATTGACTCATGAGTCCCATGGGTGCATAGCTTCAAGGGGTGCAGTGCATCGTTGAAGAAGCGCCCTAAGATGCCGTGAAGATGGGACTTCTAAAGAGTTCAATGGCCGCCCTGAGCATGTGACCGCGTTGTCACCTGAGAAAGACCTTACAATCGGTGTTATAGTTAACTCGACTCAAATTTGTGGAATGGGCTGAGTGGCACAACGAGCCGTTCCTTTCTTCCGCCCCAGGTTCGCCGCCCAGCAGGCGGCGCAGCCTCATGCGGCCGGCGCGCGCGGCGCGCGCATCGCGCCGCTGGAGGAGACGCGGCGCCATCCGGGTGAAGACGCCGCGGCGGCCTTGGCCGAGGCAACGCCTCTGAAGGCATGACAGGACGGTCGAACCGCACCGAAGTGGATGGTTTCTGGACGAAAGAGTCTTAGAGACCCAGTGGTTTGCCAAACATGGTCCTGGTAATGATCGAAGTGATCGATTTGAATTTGCCCTTTGGTGGGTAAGGGCTGGTGAGAGTTAAAGAAGTTAATTAGTAGTCTAATTAGTAGATTTAATGGTTTTCAACACTGGATGCATATGATATGTGGCACGCCAGCCTTGCGTTATGTTGCGTTCTCAGTTGCCCTAGGGCTCCAAGTACCTTCGTTTCGAAGGAGCCCTATAGGGTTAGGCAAGCAGCTGGGACACTCAAAACATCTTGCGGTCGGATCACGACATGTGAGGTCGGACCACGCATGCCTTGTTCCGACACGTCGCCCGGATGTCGCACGTGATCCAGCAGGTGGTGGAATATGTGGCCAAAAGTTGCCCGCACTGCAAGTCCATGGAGCCAATCTGGAATGAGTTAAAGGCTGCCACCCAGCAGAAGGATATCATTTGGGAGCAGAAGGCGGGTGCAGCGAGATAAAACCGACTCGGAACTTGATCGGAGCGGCGAGTTTCCAGATTCCGAAGAAACACGACTAGAAGAAACCATCCTATAGTCCTAGTTCGCTTTAATACCTGCCAGAACTTTTCTGATGGTCACTAAATGGACATCCCAATTTTTCAAGCAAATCCAAGATCCGCCACTCTTCGCTCTCCGGACCTGCGCCAGGAGTGCTTTGGCGAAGGCTGGACTCCGGGGAAAGATCTGGAGGAGTGCAAGAGGAGCGACATTCAAGGCGGGGCAGTTCGATACCTTTGGACCGGTCGGTGAACGAACGCTTTGCGTTTCTCGAAACCAGAAAGATTGATTCAATCAGTCAAGATTCAAGATCAGAAGATCAGAGATTGCACCAAACAACGTTGAACAATGAGAATTCGCGAAGAACCAGCTGCTCAAAAAACATTTTAAACAAACTGGTTTGACTGTCACACAGGGGTTTCTGGATCGATGAACTCCAGGTTCCGTGTGGTGGTCAGAAACGCCACAGGGTGAAGCATAGAACACAGCGAAGAGAAACCCTCCATGACATCCCAGGCCCTCCAGTCGTACCTTCGTTTCCTCTACGTATCTTGGGGGTGGCTGTGTTCGGGTCCAGTCATACCGAAGGTACGACCGTTCCATTGAACCGTTGTCTCCCCGTCTCTCCAAACGGAAGACAACGGTTTTGTTGGAACGGACCTGGAACTTCAGGTGTCTGGAGAGCGGTCATGGCAGAGTTTGGAGGAAAGAAAGCAAACAAAGCGAAGAACGAATTGACTTGCAATTGTGTTAAAGTAGATCCTATCCCAGACACTCCATGTATCATGTATAAATGTGATATACGAGCCAGTCCCAACGGTCGTGTCTGGAGTGTTTGTATCCTTTGCTCCCTCAAAGAGGGGCCACCGCTTCCTAGTCCTTAAAAAGGGTCTTTGAAGTTGTATAATACATCTCGACTGATGCGGTATACTACCCAGATCCCTTTCCCAATCGGATCTTTTTTAGAGGGCAGTTGGGGCAGGTGACCTCGGTGATAATAGAAGTGGATCTAGGCCAGTGGTTTCGGATAAAATATTGTTAACTTGTCAACCTCTACTTGCGACCCTCTTGAGGATATCAAGCGGTTAACTTGTCAACCTCTACTTGAACTGAAGAATCACTGACCGTCCTCAGTGGTTGCGGTTCTCCAGTTGGTGACCGTCCTTGAGATTGCCAAGGTCAGGTATTTGGAAGCTGATGCGATGATTGAATAATATCCCAGACGCTCCATGTATGGAATATATGCCGATCAGTTGGAGTGGTTTGGGGGTCAATCTAATGGAGTGCATGGGTATTGAATCCATTGACTCATCTCTGCCAGGTTTTCCCACCTTGAAGCTCTTCTCGAGCCCCACAGCAGCTGGCGAAGAGTTCCAGGGTGCTAGGCAAGAGACTGAACAATGACTGAAATCTGGTTTCGAAAGTGAGGATCAATCACAAGGTCATAGGGAATTTACCCTTTTGTCAATGAAACATTTTTTGTGGACGTGACTTGTAACACATGGTGCACAACATTGCACAAGATTTGGTGATTATTTCATGCTGGAATCCAGCATCACAGCGAAAGCATCTCATTCCTAGCATTGCAAATCTACATCTGGTTGGGATGCTTGGAAACCCAGTCCCAATCAGAAAGAAATGAATCTTTCCACAGGTCCCAACTTGCTATGTAAAGGATCTAGAGTGTCATATTGGAACAACCAGAACTGTTTCGATGTTGTTTGATGTTGTTTGGGTTTCCAGGTGGAACAATCGATCAGATGTTGTCCACTTCTTTTGTCATTGGTCCACCCGCCGGTAGGTCTACCTGAGACTTTTGTGAAGCCACCATAAGCCACCAAAATCTGGGCGGATGTTTTTGAGGTCATTTTGGGATTCAGGGGGTGCTCATCCGCCAATTTTGCCTAGACTCGAAGGTGGGGCAGATCACCTGGCTGCCACAAAGAGGAAGACACATCTACCAAATGACATGGTCTATAAGCAGTTCAAAGACTGTCTACTGAATCCAAAATCATATGTCGCTCTTGACCACGCAACAAACCAGCTACTTCCAAGGGGTCGCTACTACCAGAACACCCCCGGGCACAGCGTTTCCATTCGACTCCTGACCACGGACTTACACTCTTCCAGGATACGTCGACGGAGCCACCTGGTGCCTCTGTCCGTCCACCTCAAGGGTAGGGATCCATCCACCGGCGGTGCTCCCAGAGCTCGGTCGATGTCGAGCTTCGACGTCCGCGGAATGACGTCAGGTCTGCCTCCAGCATCCTCAAGTGGGTCGAGCAGCATGCACCGCAGCCCACCGGAGTGGTCGCCGACCGGGCATTGCAGGCGGGTCAGACGACTGGCAGTTCCTGCGGAGCCCTGCGTTGGACCAAGCAACCAAAAGATTGGCCGCAATTCGAAAGGTCAGGTTCTGGGGCTCACAAAATGGAAGGTGCTGAATTCTTGGAGTTCTTTTCCAGATCTGAAGGAGTTATATATATATAGAGAGCTGCTGGAAAGCCAGTTACAACCTGGTTCACCTTGCTTCCCCAGTGAATCCTGGCATCCGGAGGATCCATTTCCTTTCGCAAAATCACGCTTGTCAGAAAAGGGTGAACTAGCAGATGTCATGGTGGTTGGTGCCATTCATTGATTCTTCATGTGAGGTTCCCAAAACTCCACATTCCTGGGTACATGAACAGGAAGATATTTATTTTTGTGGATAGCACCTGTAGAGAGAGAGAGAGAGGGAGAGTCACTTCCCAAGCCAATCAAACTTCTATTAGCAGCACCTTGAATACTAGTATAGAATACCTTCTATAGCTACTAGTACTAATGCCCTTGTTACTAGTAACAATGCCCTTGCTACTAGTAGCTTCTAGCTACTACTAGTAAGGCACCTTATTAAGGGCAGGAGAGGTGAAGGGGTAGCTGAGCCGAGCTGCAGCCCATGGGACATTTGGAGCCAGGCAGTTCAGGCCTGCGTCGGTCCGCAGCTCTGGATGGCTTCTTCCCTATGCGGACCAGCCACTCGGATTCCCTATGCGGACCTGCTTGGACCACTTTGAAAAGAGTAGCTTCTTGCTAGTAGCGATGCACCTGTTTCTAGTGGCGATGACTTTACTAGAAGCTTCTTGCTACCAGTAATTCACTTGTTACTGGTAGCGATGCACTTGTTACTAGTAGCAAGAAGCTACTAACAGCAGGAAAAGATAACAAATGTGCTCATTGAATATGATTGGGTCTCAGTTTGTACCTCAGAGTTCATGGGTACAGGGTACGAACGGTACGACCTGTTTTCGCTTCGGGTCATGTCCCATGTTCTAGAGTGAGTACGACCGAAGTCTGCTTTTGGTGACCCCATCCAATCCCAAAACACTCCCGGTCACCGAGTCTGTGCCCCTCGACCATCGCCCGGGTGGAAAACGGCTGTGAAACGGGCAGCGTTTCGGCAGCGCGCCGTTCGGCACCGCCGTTCGGCACCGCCGTTCGGCACCGTGGCATCCCACCAAAACGGTTTCAAGGAGTCAACGACCTGAAGTCCTAAGGAGTCGGCTCATCCAGCTTTTCAAAGCGTTTTTAATAAGCATCATCCGGAGGCAACCTTTTTTCTGTCACCTGTGGGCAGACTGGAAGAACGAACCAAACGAATTCTTCCAGGACCTGAGCCGTTCGTGTCCTTGAAGTCTGAGAATGAGGTCACTGAGTCCCCAAAGAGGTCACAAGCCCAGAGACTCCAGTTTAGGTCACTGACGGTCCAGGTCATTTGTCGGCATTCGATCTTCCGCAGTCTCTTGGAATGGTTGACCAATAGATCACCGTGCGGCAATGAAAAACCAAGTGGGAAGATTAGACTAAAAAAAAAAAAAACACACGCTGTGGACATGAAGAGTGGGGCTCAGAGGATCTCTGGAGCTCTTCTTGACATGCAATCTCTTGGTGCTTGAGTCTGTTTTCGGATGTTTTCGGCAGGTGACCTCGATGGCAATGTGCTTCTCATGCATGTGTTTCAAGTGTCAATGTGTTGTTTTCCCAGGTGAAGAAGGGGTCAACATTTTGGCGAGGTTCAGGTCGTAGGTCAATCACTCCTTGCTTTGATCCGGTCACTCGTAGTGTTGCCAAGGTGCTGCCACCACAGAGCAAGGCGCGGGACACACGGAAACCATGGGGCCACAGGTCTATATAGAGCCTCAGATAGCCTGAGTGACCTTAGGGACCGTGGACCGCCAAGCACCCGTAAGACGGCTTCCCTATCCAACAAGAGGTCAAACAGAGGCTTTACAAAAGTGAATGGGAATCCCCTCTCCCACAGGGGTGGATGATCCAGCTTTGCATGCTCTTATCCTGGGCAACAGCACGAATGGTGTCAAGACCGCGTATGCCCAAATTCTTGGACATCCAAAAATGAATCATCGCATTTCAAGTCACATCTGATGAAAGGCATACCAGCTTTCCCGCTGTGACACCGTTCTTTTCCCCGTTCGTTCCGGTTCGGTCCATTTGACCTCTGAGGCCAGCTTCCTCTAAGCCAGCGGCTGGCTCGGTGGTGTGCGAACAGCAGCCCGAGCATGGGGGAACGGCGGCGGGGAGCCGAGCGGGAATCCTCCGCCAGGCTCTGACAGCCGGACTTGTCAATGTCGGCGCAGCGAGCGAAGCCGGAAGATGGAAGATGAGATAGAAGATGATAGCATGGTTGTAGATTTCGAGTGGGAAAGCTTATCAGCCCATAGGATTCTAAACTCTGCATTGTGCATACCAGCAGTTCCATGGCATGATTTGGAGTCGCATGGCAAGATGTGACGGGCACCCTGGAAACCCACCAAGAGGCACCCAACTCCATGGAACTTCTATAATGTAATGAACATGGGTTTTGATGCAGAAGAATGCGGAAACAGCCACCAAACTTTCGCTCAAAGGAGATAACGGGTGACTCAACCCACCACCCATCACCACCCTTTAGCATTGTTTTGTGAATCATGTTCTTCACTCAGCTGGCTTCGGTGTCCTTGACCAGCTCACCTTGACTGGTCCTTCAGCTGCTCTCAGTGTGGAGCATGCGCCCCACATGTGGTTTATCGGCCAAAAGGGGAGCAAGAAGCTACCCCAGACACGACCCATGGGACTGCCATGGACGCCTTCAAAACGGGCGTTCGGGGTGGTTGACTGGGGGTCTATCTGGGGCGGCCAGTCCTATGGCAGTCCCATGGATCGTCGTGTCTGGGTATGAAATGGGCTCCTGGCCTTGGTCTTCACAGAGGTCCTTTGGCCCGGACAACTGCAGCAGGGCGGGGCTCCGGGCTGCTCCAGAAGAGCGGTCCACAAACCCTCCATGGTGTCAGGGACCTTTTTGGGAGTTTCTGTTCAGTGGCCTTTTGAGATCTTTTCAGGGACTATATGCAATCTATATGCGATGTGACCGAAAATCCTCGGATCTAGGATCTCGACACCTGTTTTCACGTCCTGGCCAACAGTCGAGTGGTCGTGTTTGCGTGTCTTTTTGTGACAATCCCATTCCATCCCCAAGACTCCATTGTATGTAACGCACGCAAAGACCCCAGAATACTTATTGCCGCCTGTGAACCAAAGTACTCGTTAAACTTGAGTGTTTGCAATTCATTCATATGAACGTACTTGACTTTAAAAGATCGTACTTTACTTGTCTATAAGCACCTCTATGTCGACATTATATATCAACAACCAGCATTGGAGGTGGCTCACTGGAAAACCATTTGGTCTGGTTGATTCAAGGCTTGTGTTATCTGAAAACCATGAATTTGGTTTGCATATATATGTTGCTTCAAGGGACACATCAACTCATGAAGGGCAAAGTACTGTGAAGGGAGTACGCTGAGGGATTCTTCAGGTCCCTTTTTCTTGCAGGATTTTCAAATCCAGCCAGCTGGCTCCGTAAGACCCAGCCTTGAAACATCCTCGGTGAACAGAAGCGGCCCTTCATCGCAGCGGGGCTTCAGGCGGTCGTGTTTGGGACATGATGCCCCAAAGATGCACCACCCGAAAGAGTCCGTTCTGGAAGACCAGTTTCCTGTACAAGCAGGGAGTGGCTCGCAGAAGCCAGGAAGCCAACCAGCAACAAGATCTGGATCATAGGATCTCAGGCAAGATCATGTTGGAACAGGACATCTCCTCCAAAATATGGCATCTATATAATAGGCCACTTGATTCCAAATCGTACATCCATGTGGATCCCTTTTTTCTTCACGATATTCGTGGTCGTCGTCCGCGCCGGAGCGATGGTAGATGAAGCGTGCGGCTCGAAAGTGATTCCAGGCTTTGCATATTAACTTTTTCATTTGGCTATTTGGATACCTTTCAAAAATAGAGGGGTGGCTCATGTGCCAACACTGCTGAACTGGATGATGAGGATGATGGTGCCTTCTGGCATGTTAGGGGGAGGGCGTCACTGAACATGACCATGATATATGTCATGGCCACCCTGGCTTTGACATGTCAGGATGACATGAAGAACCATGCACAATTTCGAAGACCAATTGCAATAATGGTCTAGATCTCAAAGGTTCAAACTGTCGCAGGTGGACCATGCACCTTTCGAAGGTCCGATTTGACCAAAATGCATGCACTATCAACGTGCATACCGATAGCGGCACTAGAAGCCCTGCAACACTTCCCATCGATCGACTTTGCGCCATGCCGGGCTCGAAGCCCCGTGACACCGTGGTGGAAGTTCTTCAGGCTTGGTTGTTAAAATTTTGGACTCATGGGGACGGGCGGAGTGGATTTTACCGCGCTATTGCCCAGTGTACTCCCTTCACGGTGCTTTGCCCTTCATGGCTCATTGACACCCATCGACGACCATCGACCCCCAGTGATGCCCAGTTTGGACTCATGGGCAGAGTGGAGCGGATTCGGTGGGCTTAGCTATCTTTTGAGGGTCCCGTTGCATAGATCTGATGAGGTGCTGTACACATATAGTCAACATTGACAAGTTTACCGAGTACTTTGGTTCACATGCAGGATCCTCGATATTGTTTTCGATCGATTCCAAGTACTAGCCTGCAACACCTGGACAGGAGTTCTACAAAGAACGACCTGCTCATGGTGGGAAGTACATCCGGGTTAAACGGCTATGCAAGCAAGCTGGTCTACAAGATGATGCGTGATCTGGAGAGGAAGCATGCATCTAGGTCAGACATGATTGACCTGGAATCGATCAATCACATGATTAAGGGTCATGGCACCTGGGTTGCCCAGAACTTACCCATGCAGGTAGGCTAGTAGGTTGGCCATGTTGTGAAGCCCCCTGCAAGCCCCATCTGCAGCGACTCCCAAACTGGTCCGACGCTTGGGACGGGTGGTGGATAGTGGATGGGACCATGGATGGGCCACTCATTCTAGCTAGCCTCCAACAGGCTTCTATAGTAGACTGGAACATGGACCATTTCTTCGAATTGGAAAGCCCAACAGCCAGGAATTAATAGTACGTGGAGCATCACGTGAATAAATGGAAACACACAGCAGGTTAAGCTCCTTGAAGCCATGCCCCCAACAAGTTGGACAACTTGAGAGGGTCAGGGGCATTTCCAACTCACTTGAGGTCTCGACATAGATCTAGTTTCTGTTGGAGGCTTGCGCCACAGTCTCCAGTCATCGGGGCAGATGAATTAAAATTGGTGTCCATATATGATGTTTGTCCGCTAATTCATCCATGTCATCGGCATTGTTGATCCCAATCCACCCTGGACTCGAACATGAACAGTCTCCCAGAATTGTTTACATCCAGCTGCCATGAATTCTAAAATTTTCAGAAGCTGGACAAGAGCGGACTTCTTCTTCAAATCACTAAGGACTTCTGTTTATGGGCTGCTCAGGACTACTGCACAGGCCAGATCGATTCATGATGCTGGGATGGCCTTTTCCAATGTGCATCTCAAATTGACACGGCTGGCTCAGAGGCCAGCCTCAGGGATTCAATCCAACCTGGGATTCCACCTGGTCAGCAGGGTTTTCACCTGCAGGTGTTGGGGAAATTTGCAGTTCTTTTTGTAGCAGGATTTTCACCTGGTCCCTGGATTGCTTCTACCATGTTCCACAGACAGACTGCGGCTAGGCAGAACCGCATTGCATGGCTTTTGAAGCCGAAGCTGCACATGTTCAAGCATATGCTCAAGCGATGGTTGCGGTGGCGACTCTTAGCTGCCGTTCATATCACAATCACATAGGGGTCCAACCAGACTAGTCTATGCTAGGATCTAGTACAGGTCAATGACCTCATTTTACTGGATGTGGTCATAGTAAATGGGTCTTTGGACTTGAGATCATTTGGCAATTTTTCAGCCAAGGACACAACACCAGACATTGGGCATGCTTGTTGGAGGATAGCGTCGGCTACTTGGCTCAAAATATAGCAGAGCTACGATGCATGTGCAGTGTACTACGTGTTCACGTGTGGTGCACTTTATGTAAGGTCGAAAGTTGCAAAAAAAATAAGAAACGTGTGCGGAGGACCAAGTTGTTTGTGTGAAAAGTGCAGTCAACAGGCATAGAGTTTGCAGTTGGATTGTCATCATGTCGCAGGATTGACATGGTGGCTGCGTGGAAGCGATGATCGGAGCAATGCTTAAGAAAAAGTGCTTGGAGAGCGGGTGGGCAGAGTTAGGCAGTTTAAGTATTCCATATATACATGTACTAGTCAAACCAGTCTCCCGGGTCCGCAGGGTTATATATTATATATCTCATATGGTATTTATATTACTATAAGTATTCTCGGTGTCTTTGCGTGCGGTTTTGGTTTAACATGTTGAGAAAGCTCTTCCGGATCTTTCAGCTGCTGGCGGGGCTGGAACCTTCTCGCCCAGCTCAAGGAGCAGATGCGTTTTGGATCATGTAAAGCTTGGCTCAAGCAGAAGACCCCCGAAACTACGCGAGGGGTCTGGGAAAGAAACAAGAACCTGGCAGGTTGATGAACCAATGTATGTTGTGATGTACAAGCCAGCTGATCCAAACAAGTAGATCACAGAATGAAGGAATCAACTAACAAGTAACCATCACGCCCCAAAGCTTTGCCCCAGAAGCAGACATTCATACAGGCATGATCGGACGTTCCAATATGTTGTCATTCCCTTGTCATATCATCATAGAACTTTGGGTGGCGCAAGGCAGGCCCCTATGGAGGCTTTTGCAGACCTCCCCTCCAGCCCCTCAGTTTCCTTTCTGGTCACATCACACGAATACCCTTCACTTCCCACGTCGTCAGATCCCCCATATTGGGGCCTTCAACCCAAACCCAGGTGGCCACTCTACACTAGGACCCTGCAGCTTTTCTCAGGAGACCCTTTCAATCACTGATGACGCTGCGTTAAAACATCTTCTTCCGCGCCGAACTGCGCGCCGGGGCGCCTTCTCCTCTCGGCCGAGAACTGCCCAGCATGATGAAAACGTTGCGTCCGGGGCCCCTTTGTGTCGTTTCTTCGTGGTTTTGTGATGTTCTAGGAGTCTAGGGACGGAGCCAAGAGATGGATATGCAGAAGAACAGATTCCAATTTGGGATGGTTCGTTGTTTTGGAGATGGTACGAACTTCTCAGCACAGCCGCCAGTTCAGAAGAGCTGGACCTTCTCAGGAAGTATCATCAAGTACTTCAAACTGTTTCAAATCTCCTACCCACGTGATTTGGTTCAAGTCGTGGTGTTAAGGTCTGGGTGTCTCTTCCTCCAGGTGCGTGACCCTTCGAAACCAGTTTTGTGCGTCTATGGGTCTACCCTGAGAGTCTGGTACATGACACAGTCTACCCAGTGGCTAGTGGTTGACTATGACTCCCAGGTGGGGTAGCATGATGTAAAGCGAATCATTTGGAAATTCTATTGAACTTGTACCGTGTATATGTATATCTTAATTAAGTTACCTTTAAAAGATCTCAGTCTTTCCACTGCCTTTTCCCTCCCTTTCTCTCCGCCAGGCAAAAAGAGCCGCCTCCGGGCCTCCGCCTCCATGGCTCGAGCCTCTGCGTCCCGTCAACCGCGGAATCGGAATCAGGAAATCAACGACGGAAACATGCGCGGAATCAGGACATGCAGTTACTATTTGTAGGGATCCAGTCGTACCTTCTCAGAAGGTGATTGGAGACAGTGTGATGATATGTGATGTAGGTTTGCCTTCTCAGAGAGTATGCGGATCCCTAGGGTATATAGAAATTAATAGCAGCTATCATGCATTGTTACATATATAGATACTACAGGTGAACCCCCCTGTCAGAGAACCATCCCGGCTCGGGACAAATGGTCTGGAGATCCCCCCCACTACGACCATAGTGCAGGGAACCCATCTCCAGCCAGAGGAGACCCACATAGATCCAGCCGTTGTTTGGGCGAGGAAACTAGCATGCTAGCATGTGGGGGCGTCACTGATGGGTTCACAGTCGGATGGCAGATGGCGATGTGAACGTTATGGAAAACACGGGCCCTGCGCGAACGAACTAATGGCGCGCCGTCAATTCGATCAGTGTTGACCTGGTGTTGTAGGAAATTCAGTAAAACTAAAGGTTATGGTACGGTAAAACATTGTAAAACCCTTTAAATCGCTGAATCTCTGGCCTAAAGTCAAAAGTGGCCCCCAAAGGCCACGTTTTCCGACAAGGGGATGGCATCGATGAGTTGTGAGTGATATGTTTGTTCTCCGCTACCCAAGAAAGTCCATTGCTCCCAACAAAGTGTGATGGCAAGAAGATCAAGAAGCAAACAAGTGAAGTTTCCCTAAACATCCAGGAGCCAAATCAGTGCGAGCGCTTCTTCAAGGAAGCTCCCCCAAGCCCTCAGGCGGGGGAGCTTCCTTGAAGAAGCCTATCCTGCGTCCTAGCTAGGAGCTTCCATTGAACTACGTCCCTTATTATTCGAATTAAGTAGGCGCCTACTGAATGAAGGACCCAACCAAGTGTGATCTTTAAATCCGGAGATCCTTCCCTCTCATCAGGCCATTCCTGAGTTCATCGTGGGCGGCGAGTACGAACACGTGCGGCGAACCCGCCGACCGAACCCGACCGAACACCACGAGAGAGTCACCGAGCGCCGAGAGTCGGAAGTTGATGATGAGCTAAACACATGGAGATGAGACACACACGCCATGTGTAGAGATGGCATGCCCACAGCTTGGTTCGTGATACATGTATATACAACTTCATCGAACTATATCGAATTATAGCTTTATTGTAGCGACTCCCAAAGACTGCGGAGTGCAGGCTGCACCCGGTCCGCCACGAATGCACCCGTCTCGCGTCGTCGCGGGTGCCGTGGTGAGACGTTGGCCGCTCCAGGTGGACACGGAGCGTGACGGCCCGATGATCCCCAGAGCTGCCGTGGATGCCCGGGGCGGAGTCCGGTGGGAACGCCGCGGTGTTCTGCAACGCGCGAGTGGGGTGGGAGAGGAAAGTGGCAGTTGGGGAGAGGTCTGGACCCATTTAGAAAGGGTGAGCCTTCAGCGATCTTCTCAGATCTTGACAATGAAAGGCAACAGGCTTATAGTTTGGTTTTCTCACTCCAAGCAGGTTCTTGTTCAAAAGGAACATTGACGAATTCTTTAGTGTAGTTTGGAGGTGGTATGGAGATCCAGCCAATTGGAGCAGGCCAGTTCCGTTTTGAACGAATACTAGGCAAAAGATTTCATGCACCGTTTGGAGACCAGACCAGAACAGCTGAAGACCAGGCCAAAAGCATTGTTGCTCAGTCTTTAGCAGGCTCCTCCTCACGCAGCTCGGACGCCACGCGTTGGTGTTTGTTTGGCAGCTCTGAGGTCCGGAATCTGGCCTACCACTTGCCTGGGAAGGGGCATGTAGCAAGCTCAGAGTTGTTGCCATCCGCATGGCGCCACATTGGTCCGGTCGTGCCGGTCCGGTCCGTGCGTTCCCCGCGTCACGGCGATCCGTTGGGATTTCCTCACACACATGTGTGCCACGATGCGTCTTAGGACACGATCCATAACGATCCGGACCATTCCCCACTAGTTACCATGACCCAAAAACTCTCGGTCCGGAGCTTTCGCAGGTTTCGCAGGTTTCGGGTGCCGGTTCCGGATAGAGCAGAGTATGAGTCAGTCTCGAGATACGGAAGTCGACCGCCAGACCGCTGTTCCGGCGAGCCGTAGCGTCAGCTGGCGAAACAAGGCACACTTCAAGTTTGTGGAATCGGACTGGTTTCAACTGCTGGTGGGTCTGAAGCTGAGCAATCAAAACGTCCATATGTATATATGCATATATTATGTCGTATATGTGTTTTAACGCTTCAAGCAGCCATACGGTACTAGCCAGTAGCCTACTTATATCATATTTTATTATATTATGTATATTGTTGTTTTTGATAAGAGTGGTTTTATGAGTATTTGACCCGGGAGGCCGCTGACGACGGTTGTTTTTTGTTGTATGCTTTCATTTGTTGCTCTCCCCAAATTCGAACTCCGGGGTGTCCCTATTTCAATACTAATAAGATCTAATAAGATCACGAGCCCAATCATGGCCCAGTGGACGCGTACACAAGGCCTTGCGCTTCGACCAGTGTTGGACATCAGAAGTTGGCTCCGCAATCCATGGTGAAGGACGGAGACTTTTCAGTGAAATTGGATTGAACAAAATCCCAAACCATCCATGAAATTGGAATGTTTACCACTATAGGATCGATAGGAAGTTCTGGGTCAATGTAGGGTCAAATATAGATCCAGTCCGGATTGGGATTGACATTGACCGACCTATCTCTTGGAGATCGCCAGAAAGACCCAGAAAGGCCCAGACACTGACCGGCTTTCTCAGGCCTTGTGATTGTGTGGAACATTGTGATTGCCTGGCAGCCGGAAACCCAGCCAAATTGCTGGATGGCTCGGTTCAACACGATTCCGGTTTTCTTTCAACATCTCGATTCTCGATTGTAGATGAAGATGAGACCATCCAAGATTTGGAGAAGCAAGATTTCAAGGTTCCCTATGACCAACCAATTTCACAGATCAAAAATGGCAGGCATCAGACTTGAACGGGTTGTTCTTTTTGCCCCGAACCTCATAGAGCACCCCCCGATTCATCACACACACGTTGGGGGTTGGCAGGACTGGGTATGAGTGCCTGGTGCCTCGGGCCTCGGGGTGGATCCGGAATCATGGTCCTGGGGCACAACGTTTCGCCCCAAAACGAAGCAGAGCGCAATTCGTTGAATTTTTTCGGGTGCTCCTCGTCTGGAAGGTGCAGGGAGTCTCAGTTTGTATAACCTCAGAACATGGGCCGGGTATGAGTCGCTGCCTTTTGTAGGGTCATGTCCCACTAGACACTAAGACGGAATTCTTCGGCTTTGGTCCACCAAAGCACGTGGCGGGTTGAACATGCTGAAACGAGACGAAGTCGAATGACTTCCCGGTACACGTCGCATCAAGTCGCTGAGGCAATACCTTCATGGGAGCAATGACTTCCTGGAGAAGTGCCAGATCATAATTCTGCTCGTGGCCTCAGAGCGCAGGCGGTTGGAGGCCTGCAGGAGGCCGATGGAGGCGGTTGGAGGCCGCAATCTGTCGCCGGACAGGGCGACCAGAGAACAAGAAGTCACCCAAACACTTCGGACTCGCATATGATTGTTCCATTGTCATGCCCAGGGGTGGCTTTTCATATAGGTCCTGTGTAGGCATATGGAGTGTGTGTAGTGAAGTATATCAAACAAAACAATGTTATTCACTGTGATGGCAAAAAGGCAGCGCACGTAGTAAGTTCACACTCAGATCCCATCCCCCTGGACGGTTGACCATTCGGCGCCCGAGCACAGCGTTCGAGGTGTATTTACGTGCTCGAGATCATCCTCAGCGCGATCCTCAAAAATCGTCCTTTGAATCGCCGCGATGCGATCCCTACTTGGAGCGCGAAAACACATCCCTACCTGGTTCTTCGAAGTGACCGTACTTGATAACCTGGTTGGTTCGGTCACTTAAGCTTCCAACAGGGTCACGAAAAGGAACCTTCAAAAGGTCACGAACTGAAGAAGCTGGTACTTGGATCCCTAGGGCTTTGGAAAAAAAAAAACCGATCGAGTCCACCGACCGCGTCACCGTCTCCGTCTCGGACACCGACCTCCCATGACGGACGGGACCGCTGGGACCGGTCGGACTTCGGAGGTGATGACACCAACGGAGAGGTGGTCGGTGCTTGGACACGTCGTTCTCTATTGGACATCTATACCCACTTATTAAGGTGACGTGGTGGTGACGGTGACGTGGTGTTCAGAGGAGAAGAAGCCTGGCACGGACCCCATGAGGTCGACAGATGGGGGGTCCAATTTATACACCTCCTGGAGTCTGTGCCATTGACTCTCAACCAGCAGTCACAAGACGCGGTGCTATCTATGGAGGAAGTCGGGGTGCCCACGTCACATCCACTCACTGGGGGACGAGCCACACCACCCCTTTCCATATTGGAACTCCTGGAATGTGTCTTATGATATCTCATTGATGTCTCCCGATCTTCATGTGGCTGACCTTTGGGTCAGGGCTCGGGCTGGTGTCATCCGCGGTCTCGTCCCCCGCCCCAGGAATTTGGCACTATGGCCGACGCTTCTTTTGCACCGTGTGTGTCCGGTCCGCTGAGTGGAGCGGAGCTCGTGCTGCGGAGCGGCTCGTGTTGGTCGACCGGTCTCGGCTCCACAGTTCCCATCCAAAGCCTGGTACGCGACCCTAGACCCTCATATGGAGGGGTCGGACGCCGAATCCTCTGGAGGGGTCTGGGGTCTCAAATCTCTAGGTTTCGAGGGACCCAACAGCTGTGAACGGAGCGTTTGGGCAAGGACCTTTCGATGGAATCTCCGTTCGCCGTGTGCGTTGTAGTTGGTCAACTCCACCCGTCGGACAGAGGTGGCTTGTGAGAGGTGACGTCAGACGAATGGGAGATGAACCAGCAAAACAAGGGCCACATGAAGGAGTCACGTAGCTCGGGGTGGTTTGCTTCGTCCCCATCCAGTGAGTGGATGTGACAGGGGCACCTAACCTCCTTCCTCCAAGCTCGGCACCGCTGGTTGACTGCGGGCGGATTTGGTTCAGGAGACCCGATGGTATTCGATGGGGCACACCTCCATTCGACGAGGTTCCTCCGATCTACTTCAGGTCTACTTCATGTTTTGCTGCAGCTTTGCCCAATTGAATCTCATTGATGTAAATCACGAAAGGTAGCTTGAGCTACCTGAGTTCTTCTTGCTTTAGCAAAAATGTATTGCAATCAGGAGTTGGGATTGTGCATTGAGTTTGGTCCTGTAAGAAATGATTCTGTTCGATGGGGGGGGGGCCCTGCGCCGGTTCACGCTGTCATGGACTTCTATCAGGGTTACTTGTGATTGCCTGCTACCTTTCGTTCACCCCCTCCTCTCTCAAGTATGGCATGAACCCTGGTTGAACTTGAGAAGACATTTTTAAATTATCCGGGAACATGGAATCTTAAGAAGGATTCCAGTGATGACGAGGCCCAGCTGAGCTATATATATAGCTATACATCATCACTAGACTGCATCACCATCACTTACCCTGTCCAGCCGCAGCAAATCACTCAAGAACTTGCACCCGTTTTCATCAGCACAACAAAACCTCCGGCGGCGGCACCACCCAGGCAGAGGCTATGTGGAACTGGGGGGACCTGCTCATCATCGGCTTGGGCGTCGGCAGCTCAAGCATCGCGACGCTTCGGCGACGGTCGAGACCACGGGGTTTTAGGGGTCGGTCGTGGTTTCCGGGCTTCGGCGACGGGTTCGAAGAGGAACTTGGAACAAACGGCCCCGGGGCACTCCGGAGGCCTAATCGATCGACCCCACAAACCATCCCGGGCACCATGGAGTCTCATTTCGTACCTTAAAGAGAATGGATACAAATATACCTGTTGTGTGTTCGGGTCATGTCCCATTTTCTAGGTGGGTCCGGGTGTGTATGCCACATGGTGTGTGGCCTCCGGAACCCTGTTGTAAGATCTTAAGATCGCCGTCCGGGGCATCCAGTTGCTGTCCCTGCATCCGTCCGGTTCCAGGTCGACGATCAAACCAAGGAACCGAACTGAGGGCCCCTGTAGCTGCCGGGATCCGCTGGGTGAGGACAGGACGACCACACGGATCCTGTGGGAACGTCGTTTCATGGATGCGATCGCAGACTCACCGCGGAACCTGGCGGAACCTATCGGAACCTCCCCGTTGGTTCATGGGTTTGGAAAGACATGGACAAGTTGGAACGGATTGGTCACGAATTGTAACTAAGATCCAAGTTGCAAGTCACATCCACTCGTTCAACAGAGGGGTCTTTGTGGAAAGACCTCAATAAGAATCTCGTCCATAAGAGCCCACGTCTTCCAGGTGGCTGTTGCGACACATGCCACCCTGCGCTCGTCACTGACTTCACATCATCTTCGGAACACCCACACGGACCCTCCTGGCGCAGCGGTTGTTCGCCGGTGATTTCACCGGTTGCCTTCCGAGGTGTTCGATGAAGTCTTGATGTCCTGGCAGAACAAGGTGCGGTGACCGAACAGTTTGACAAAGTGGGTACACCCGTTCTTTACGGGGCTGAGTCATGTCCCATGGCCCATTTTCTAAAGTACTTTGGACAATCCAGGTGGTCGAGTAGGAAACAATCGATGGCGATGGCAGAGTGCAGACCCAAACCCATAGGTGTGGAAAAGGGATGAAAAGGGGAGGTTTGGCCTAATTTGACTGGATTCTTTTGATACTGGAAGAGTTAATCCTATACCACTAGTTACCCGTAGGTAGGCACAGAAAACACTCCCTGCTGTTGCGTGGGTGAGTTGGAACCTCCAACCTTTCTTGGGGATCGTGTTTGTTTCACTTCTTCTCGCTTCCTGAAAGCAACTCATGACAGCATGCACCACCTCCGTCAGGAAGTGCCGGGCTTGCGCGTCTTGCGGGCACGGGGAACCCAGCTGGATCGATCGGAACTGCGGCCAAGGGATCTTCGAAGAGTATGAATCGCCCAGAGGTTCAAATAGCCAGGGCTTTGAAACCTTAAGGTTTTTAGGGGTTAGGGTTTTGAAACCCTAAGGTTGGCATCGAATGGCATCGAATTCTTGCAGAGCGACCGTCATAGAGCTAAGTACCGGTCCACGCGGATGGTTTTGTTGGAGCTTTGACATATCTGGATCTTCCATGATCGTGTGAAATCTCCGCCCATCTTCCGCCCTTTTGACTTATAACAAAACCAGCCTGTCAGACAGATTGAGGTATGTACAACTGGCGGAAGAGTGGGGGCCCCACCGAGCAAGAACCCAAACTTTGTCCGCTGAACAGTCACAAGGGAGGTGCTATCCATGGAGGAAGTCGGGGTGCCCACGTCACATCCACCCCTTTCCATTGCGACTCGTTCCTCCCTGAGGCGCTCAGACTCCTCCGCATCCTGCGGACGGTTGGGGGCGCAACCGGGCGCACCGGACCGGACCGGCGAATGCTGCGGTTCTGCATGAGTGAAGTAGTCCGGAAGAGCAACGGACCTAATCCGTGTTGAGGCGTCCTAACGGTTCATCTTCAGATGGATGGTTTTGGGGAAAACGCCGTGGATGGTACCAGCTGCGAGGATCAGATTGGTCCATGAGTGGCTTCAATTCGCTATGTTGGGCTTCCTGACATGCCGCGACCCGTTTGAAAGGTAGGGACGTATAGGGATGATGACTCTCAGCATTCCAAGCTATGTTTCGGGGCGTTCCCCACTTCGTAAACTACATGACTGACATTTGCTCTCATCTGGATGGCCTTTCTTTGCCCAACAATTGGAGTTCACATTGGACCCTTAAAAGCTTGGACTTGGGATGCAATGGGAACTTAATTAAGCTAAGTCAACACCGGTCAAGACTGTCAACATTTGAGCTCACACAGTTGGTTGGTTCATGTGGTTTGGCATCAATTCGTCTTGTTTAGAGCCGCACACGAGCTTCTGAGCTTCTGTCGGTCGGAGTTTTTCCGCGAGAAAACAGGGCAGGGCTTCCGCGACGGAGGGCGGGTTCTCCATGTGCTGGAGAAGTGGAAATGCTTGACTTGAGTGTCCAGTACACTAGCTGCTAGGTCTTCAGGTCTTAAGACAGATTGTTCGATATAAACATAGATCTTTACAAAGGCGGCAAGACCTCGAGATGCGGATACTGCTGTGAAAGAGATACTGATGCAATCTGATGCAGCCCTTTGGATTCTGCACATGCAGCCCTTGGTGTGTCCTTGGTTCCTGCTGTATTTATAGTGGTAAGTGGTAACTGAATCTCCTGGGCCAAGTCATGTCGAGTCACGTCTATATACCAGACACTCCATGTATGGAAATGCGGGTGGTTTAAGAAGGTCAATGCTGGCATATATTCCATACATGCAGTGTTTGGATATGTACAAAAAGAGTGCGTCACAAAGAACGCAATGTTATAAATTGTGTAGCAAAATGTATTTGATTCGTCGGGTCTAGTGAGTCTAGTAGTCTACAAGTAGTCCGGGCCCGGTGGATTTATAGTGTACCTTATATAGTGTGTCACCTAGAGGGTCAACGTGCTATTTGACTGCAGGTGACAGTGATCTATCAGTGATCTATATAGAGTATATTTATGCTCTATGAAATCAGGGGGTCCACACCCAGTGGTATTGCAACATACATTAATATATAATATAGACACATACCAGGACCTTCAAAGTCACCTCTTTGGAGTCTGTAAGTGACCTCTTCAGGGACTAAGTGACCTCATTCTGGGATCTCAAAAGCTCACTTGGAAGGTCCTGGTAGACAAAATGCGGCGATGCGTTTTATTCGTGTGGAGAAACACAACACAATGGCCGGCGGTGATGTGTTCGGCACGCCCCGCGCCTCGCAGCAAGCACTGAGGTCACCAAGGTGTCGACAGAAGCCTTCGCATGGGCGCCTCTGCTCAGTGCGGCGTCGGTTGTGAGCGGTGGCGATTGATTGGTCCTGGTGAAAAGGTTCATGTTGATGTTACATAGATCATTTTTATTACATTTATGATATTTTTATAGTTTATTATTATTGCATCATCTATACAGCGTTGTGCATATGAGTGATATCCTATATTGGGTTCGACCACTGGCAAGTGTCAGCGTGGTGAAGATGATTTCAATAACCTCAGCACCAGCAAGACCAAGACTGAGAAACTCGACCCCCCCCCCCTTGGCATTGAGACAGGTATGTCCCATATACCTCTCCTGGTGCTCGCAGATCCGAAAACGTGGACCGAATCTGCAGATATCGTCCATGACTTCGATGACATGAGATTTAGACCAGATTGAGGGGCGATTTGACCTTCGTTTCAGACACAGTGTTTCGTTCAACAGACCCACTGGAACTTGGTCCGGAGGGTTGGGGGAGTAGTATCCAAGGGAGGATGTGTACCTTCCCAAGATCGTCGATTGTGATGGTTCCTCATGGGGGAAATCCACACCATCACCCACCCCCTTTGGGCAGTCCTCCAGTCATCGCTGAACAGCGGCCCAGGGCTTGGAGTTGGTTGAAATCCAAAACGAAACAAATGGGTCGAAATCGCTTGGCTTTTTCTTTGGTTCAAAGTCACTTGGGGATGTCATGCTTTCAGTTGAAAGATGTGATGCATCATTTCTGTATAATGGACGTTTCTGCATATAATCGATACATCACGTCCACGCTTGAGGCCCATGTCATCGCGTCCTGTATGTATTTTATTGTTATTTTTCACGGAAAGCATGGTGAACTTGAATCTCTTTGAGACGCCCTGGGGAAACAAACATCCTTCGCAGTATGCTTGGACTCGCGTCCCGTCCCTGTGTTTCAGTCGTGGAAGTTGTTGGTATGGCCATGAACAGATGACCCAAACAGGAGATGGTCCACTTCGATGTATAATGGAGGGAGGCTGACCTTATTTCATCCTGTCAGCCTGGAATGATGAATCCATAAGATACAGAAACACGTATTTCGGTTCGCTTCAGGAGCTCCACTGGCGCCAGACTCGGTGTTGTTCCGGTGTCCACCTCCCACGTACCTCCCACGCACCTCCCAGGTGGAGTCGGGCTGGTTTCAGGGACTTGGTGCGATGATCATCGCGCTGAACGCCGTGGAGATGGGTGCGCGGAACGCCGGACCGGACGGTCCGCGGCTTCGGCAGGGAACGGCCGGCCATGCGGCGGTGCACGCGGTGTTGCAATCGTCTGGGGGAAGATGAATCGAATCAATATCAGAGTCCACCAGGACCTTCAGGACGTGACCTCGGAGTCTGTAAAGTGAGCTTTTCAGGGCATTAACCCGTTTTGAGATCATGTTTTGATTGAGATCCGCAGTGCGCCGGGCCCGGGCTCCTTCTTTAGGATCTTTAGGGTGCGCTGGTTTCTCATGACCATTCCACATGGGTCAGAGATGAAAGTTCACCAGGGAAATAAGGACGCGAGGCCTAAATTAGGGACAATCCTTTCAATTAAAAAACTATCTGCAAAAACTGAATACTTTGAAGATGGTTTCATATTTTGCTTCCTCATGTTGATTCAAGTGATGTTTAGCTCATAAGGTCAAGGTATGCATGGTATTCTTCTTACCCCAAGGGGTTTTGCAGATTCGGTGCTTTGATTCATGTTTGGTCTCCCCGATTTCATTTGTCGTCGGTTTTTGGTCAGATGTGTTGCTAACAGATCTCCGTTTCTTCGGAGACCTGTCGAGATGAAGATCGGGTGGTGGTCCGATGTTGGTCGCGGACTCTTTGGGGTTCACTTCCGACCCAAACCTTCGCCCCCCCGTTGGTCTTAAGGCCTGGTGCGCCTCATCCGTCGATCCGATCCGGGGTTCAGAACTTCCCAGGGTTCGGTGGTGAACACCCCGTGGTGCACCGTCCAAGGGCCCCATTCTTAGACACCCCTTTTTGGGCCCTGGTAGGGATCCATTGCCAGCTTCGAAACAAAGGCAATTGGACCCTCCGGGCGCCTGTCTCTCCAATCACCCTCGTACATGAAAAATTCAGTGATCCATCCTGATCCCCAGACGCTCCATGTATGGGATACAATATATGCAATTATATGCAGTTATAATATATGCCTTCTACAGTATTACACAGTCTATGCATTCACCCCTTTTCAACCACCCCAATGTAGTAGATCAGTCAATCTGCCAGTCCCGTTCGGAGGGTTTGGGATGATCCGGGACTCGCAGGCCTCGAAACGGAGATCCAGAGCAGTGTGTGGTGGTGGCTGGAGCAGGCCACTGGGCGCGATCGATCCATCAACCGTGACGGTGGCGGTTTGTGGGAAGACTTGGGGAAGGACGCGCGAACTTGGAGGGTTCTGTTCCGAACGCGCTAATACAAGGACGTGAGGAACAAGGACGTCATGTTCTGGCTTCTTTTGGTGTTTGGCATATGTCAGTGAACGCTGAATAATACACTGCTCTCTCGTTTTGGTGCAAACAATCAGGGAAACGCTGTAACCCTCACTGCGGCTTTAGCGGGTGTTGTCGGCTGACACTGATTTCTGACAACGTAAAGGATCCACTTCAGAGCTCTTTGGAATGTCATTCTATACCTTCGGATGCGTGTGTTGGACATCTCCCGCATCCTTCTCGCAAATGAACAGATCAGTACTAGCATTCCAGCCGTACAGAATTCTACTTGATTCTTATCCTTTCAAGGGATTTCCTGCATGTTCTGACCAAAAACAAGAGCATCGTTCATCGCCTGTTCATCAGGGTTTCCTTCTCTTCTTCTCCGTCGAGCTTTGTGCCAAGATGCGGTACGCCCGGTGCCGAAGAGCGAGAAAGAGATCAGCAGGGGCGGATCCGCTGGCTGGATCACTTGTATAACACTTGTATAACCTGATCATGGGTTTAGTGGGAGTGTCCCACTGTAACTAAGAGGTGTAACATAGGTTAACCACTAGTGACTCACCTCTTTGATGTTCGAAACTGAGTGAGTCAGAGAATGACCGATGTTGGAATAGAATTGGAACGCGCAGTTCGTCCAGTGCAAGTGGACGTCTTCTCTTCTCCACCAGGAGTCACATGAAAGACGGGGTGCCCAGGAGCCACATCCACGAGCCCTGGGTGGGACTGCCACTGTGAGCTCTGTGACTCCTGGCAGTTTGACTCAAGTGACTTAAGACTTAAGACTTGCTCAGAAATGAAACACGTCACCTAACATCTCATGGCATGGACAAAAGCAGCGCTAGAGAAACAACTATGAGGAAACCAACAAACTACCTGGACTCTCCAAAGTACCTTAGACAAAGGGACATGACCCGATGTTAACAGGTACTTCTACCATTTTCCGAGGTACTTTGAGGGTCAAGGTATATTGGGAACGGGTCTAATGCCATGTATATATACTGGGAATGTCATGCACTTCGAATGCACCTGTCATCCGTGTTCGGCATCACCGTCATACACTGGATCGCGACTGAAGAACCAGCAAAGATCCTGCAAGACATGAGTCTTTGAAGCTCCAGTGCCACACTTTCCCATGTCGCCTACCGTCCGTGAAGCAACGGAAGTGGAGCTTGGTCTTCGGAACCATGGTTTGTCCAGAGGTTCACCTGCCACGGACTCCGGCTTCGACCGTCCCTTTCTTGTTCTCGCTTGATACGAGCCGAGCTGAGCCGAGCCGAGGATGGATGGATGAAGTTCTTTTACTCCGCAGGTATGGAGGAGAGGTTTGTTTGCGCCATGCGCCATGGCGCATGCGCAGGGCATCCGGACGACGCTCCATGAACAGCCCGACTTCCGGTCCCTCGAAACCGGGATTGGTGAAAAACCCCAGACCCCTGACCCGAGGATTCGGGGCCGAGTTCGGGTCGCGTCTGGGTGAGGGAAAAGTCGGGTCCGACCCCTCCAAAGCATTCGGGGCCGAACGGGTCGCGTTTGGGTGGGAAGACTCAGTTTGGTTGCTGGGGCTTCGATCTGGACCATGTCACCCCAAAGCCCAAGAACGTCCAAGAACCCTCACAGGAGTTCTGGTAGTGAGCGTCCTGCTACTGTTCTGCTCCATGAAAAGCACTTGTTTCTTTGGAAGCTTCCAAGTGAAAACTTGCCACGTCTGCAAATGCATCGAAGAGCTTTGTATCTATCCCAGACACTTAAACAGATTGAGAGTAAGACACATGACACATGTGTGCGCAAGACAACACGAATTGCAAGCATCTTGCCTGAGATACACGTCAAGATGTGCTGGACGACAAGAAAGGGGTGAGTGCGTAGAAAACACGCGACGCACCCTCGGAAGAACATAGGACACGTCTGCAATCAAAATTCCATGTGTTTATGCAGTGTCGGGTCAAAGACGTTAAGCATTAAACCGTTTGTCCAACTGTACACTGTTGAAACACATTTACAGCTGCTTTGGGGGTTGCTTTGTTTAAACATGGTTTAAGCAGGCTTCGATGATGATGATGATGACGATGATATGATTTCTGATTGAGCTGATTCACTATTTGTTTGCTGCGTAGTACTCTCCCTTAGTACTGGAGGTACTCCTTTAGTAGAACGGGTGGAACCATGAATCAACCCAGTTTAAACCAAGGCTGTTTAAACATGGTTAAACACCATTCGTTTCAACAGTCCCTGTTTAAACTTGCTTAAATACAATTTGTTTAAACAGCGTTCTGATTCAGAACTCCTGGAACAGCCGCTCACGCAAAACACGCGCCACGTCCATTAGCTCATCATGACCACCGTTGGTTCTACTTGCCCAACAAGTGAGCTTCCAAGGTAAGCGTCCAAAAAGGGTGGCAGGCATGCTGAGCAGTTGTGCAAGAATATTAGCCATAGACTATAGGACTAATAACTATATAGACATAGACTTTAGTCCATACATGACCTTATTCCTATCAATTGTTTAAACATACATGCACTCTTTGGTTTGAACCTGCACTTGTTTAAACATATGAAATATGTGTTTAAACTTAGCTTTAGTTTAAACTTGTTTAAACAGTTTAAGCCAGAAGGCTGCCCAACCCTGGTTGTATGTAAAAACAACAAACACTTGCAGGTAAAAGTGTGCCTTTGCCGCGTAACATATCTATCATAGCCGCGAATCAACATTGCAAGAAGAACAACTACCGCAAAGTGCATATTTTGGAACATAATCATGATGCATGTCGTACTACTGTTTTAAGTAAGAAAACCCGTTTGGATACATTGGGGGTGCTCTTTTTGGGGGAATCAATCGGTCAAAATGTGTGTAAACATATACCATTCATACGGAGTGTTTGGGGTCTGTTCGAGCGCGAGCTTGGGATGGAGGGACGACCTACCTGCACGACCCGAAGAGGACAGCACCTTGCTTTGGAACTACCTCGATACGATCATCGTTTTAGGTGGTATCGCCCTGCTCTCAAACGTGCGTTCGCAAGGCGTGCGTTAGCAATCGGCGTTCTGAAGGCGTTCAGACGTTTTTGACAGGTCAGGTCGAATCCACGCCTCGTGAATTCAAAGCAACATTTGGAGGATGCCAATTGAAGAGATGAAAACCACCAAGCCAGGGACTCTGTAGGGATGATTCAATTCTACGGAAAATGGACAAACAGATACAAAAAGCACTGTCAAAAGCAAGTTGGTGTGGAGCTATTGCTGGATGGTCAGGAGACTTGAAGTCAGGCATACAGTAGTCATTAAAGTCAGTTGTACCCTATATGGATCTAGCATGAACATGATCTAACCACCTTTTGGCTTCGAAGGGATGCTCAGATGGATGTCCAACGTCCTCGTGGAGTCGTGTCTGACGGATTCTGACGATGGGTTCACTGCCCCCACATGGCAATGACCATGTTCTTTGGCTCGGTTCAACAGGACACCCGTTGGACCAAGCGACTGGGACAGTTGACGCTTCATGTTCTTCATGTTCTTCCCTTCAGAGGCACAACACACTGAACAGTGTGACACTCAACAGTGCCTGGCACGGAATTGTCAAGCCCGTTGGCCTTGAAAAAGAGCTGATACCATGATAAAAGCATATAGAAACACCCGCTTCAATCCAAAGCAACGCTGGAGCAAATCCTGGTTTTCCGTGGATACAGTATCCCATGGCTTGATCTCCCTGCATTGCATGACCCTTTTCCGAATACCAAACAGGTGGTGGCTCTCCAAGCAACCAGGATTTTTTCAAACAATGATACTCAGCCCAGTTCCAATGTCTGAGGGGATGATTTTGAACCATCACCACATCTGACTCCAGCCACCCCATCTGACGATGCCCAAAATGTTCCTAGTAGCTTCTTGTTCCTCG